ATGGCCCTCCACGAGTCGTCATTAGCGACCGGGGACGTCAGTTCGTCGCTGACGTCGTTGAAGAGATCCTACGCCTGTCTGCCAGCCAATTCCGCCACGCAACCCCGTATCACCCCCAGACGAATGGCCTCGTAGAGCGGACCAACAGGACGCTAACGAACATGTTGTCAATTTATGTTGATGCCAAGCACAAAAACTGGGACGAAGTACTACCCTATATCACATACGCCTACAACACCGCGAAACACGAGACAACAGGGTACGCGCCCTTTTTCCTGCTCTACGCCCGCTCCCCTCGCAGTTGCCTCGACACCATTCTGCCTTTTACGTTAGATGTGGAAACATCGGTTGCCGAGTCACTATGCCGCGCTGAAGAAGCCCGTCGCGTCGCACGCCTTCGAACCATTGCATCTCAACAGCGCTCCAAGACCCGGTACGACGCCCACCATCACTCCGTTGCCTACACAAAGGGTGACCTGGTGTGGTTGTGGACACCTGTCCGCAAACGTGGTTTATGCCAAAAGTTTCTGGCCCACTACTCCGGACCATTTGTAGTCATTGACCGTCTCAGTGACGTCACATACGTCATCTCCGGCGTCACAAGCAATGGTCGGCGCTCTAGCAAGACACAGCTGACACACGTCGCGCGCCTCAAGCCATATCACCACCAACCTTCCTATTGACTCGCCCAGTGGGCATCGTCTGCGAACGGGGGAAATGACACACCTCGATGGGCGCATGAAGAGGAAGAGGTAGAAGCGGTCTGGCTCACGAGCAGCTCGGTCGCCGGTTTCTGGCTCTGAGCTGTACCGATCTCAACCATTTTCCTGTAAATAAACGCGTTCCTTCGTCACAATATATATATATATATATATATATATATATATATATATTGCCACTAGTACAAGTTCTGAAACTATTATTTCTACAGATGCTAGCATGCTTGTATGTGCCGCTGTTCAGAAGAGGACAAAGATGCGCGTGCAGAGAAAAACAATAGTCGTACTGCCGTTGTTCGAATCAGTTTGACGTCCTTGTGTGCCCTTATCAGCAGGTTACAGTCACGTTGTAACGTGACACTGGTGGAAGTGCTGGGTAATAGTCTATGCACTGTTACCACGAGGAAGATCTCGGTCCCAACATTGACACCTTAGTAGAAACAGCCAACCTTCGACGCAGTCGGCGGCAACTAGGCCTACCACCCCAGTTCAGCCCTCTTCCGGAACGCTCCAGAACCATGGCATATGCGACAACTGCAAGCCAGACTGAACCGTCCGTGACTCCGCCAGCACCATGGCTACCAGCCTCCCGAACGCCAAAGCCCTTCCATGGGGAGCCCTACGAAGACGTTGAAGACTGGCTGGACCAATACGATCGAGTCGCCGTCGCCAACGAGTGGGACGAGCACCGGAAACTGCGGTATGTCTATTTCTACCTGGAGGATTCGGCGCGTATTTGGTTCGAGAATCACGAGGCCGCCCTGACAACCTGGCCGGTGTTTTGCACTCAGCTGCGGAACACGTATGGTAGCGCTGACCGGAAAGAACAAGCCGAACGTCTCCTCACTTCTCGCAATCAACAACCCAATGAAAGCGTGGCCATGTTTGTTGAGGAGATGTCTCGTCTGTTCCGTCGAGCGGATTCTGCAATGACGGAAGACAAAAAGGTGCGCATTCTGATGCGGGGTGTGAAGGAGCAGCTGTTTGCAGGACTTGTACGAAACCCACCAGCTACCGTGGCAGAATTCCTCCGTGAAGCGACGACAATGGAGCGAATGCTGAGACAGCGATCTTCGCAGTATGAGCGGTCCGACAACCTTGCATGTCTGTCAGCAGCCTTGGTAACACCCGATGTCACGAGCGTGAGAGACCTTGCTGAGCTAGTCCGTAGCATTGTACGCGACGAGCTGCAAAAGCTTCACGCAGTGCCTTCACAGCCTCAAGTGGCTGCTCTGACAGACGTCGTCCGTGAAGAGGTGCGGCAGCTGGTACGACCATTAGCGCCACCTCCAACCGAAGCTCCTCTGCTAACGTATGCGGAAGCTGTACGTACTCCTGCACCGGCAGCCAGCTATTTCCCCCGACCGACTAGCCTGCAGACGCTACAGCACTTCTCGGGCGGGCCACGCTATGAAAACCAACGACTGCAGTTGCCGCAGTACTTCTCGGGCCCACCACACTATGAGAATCCGCGACCCAATTTGCGTAAATCTAGCGTGTGGCGCGCTTCCGACAATCGGCCACTATGCTACCACTGTGGTGAGCCAGGTCACCTGTACCGGGAGTGCTCGTACAGACAGATGGGCCTACCTGGATTTCGGCCAGACGCTCGTTGGCCCAGGGACGGCGAACGACCCCGCGCCATCGCAGAATACTTGGCAAGTCTACCGTCTCCGAATCTTCAGCGACGCCAATCACGCTCTCCGTCTCCTCGACGCTCTACGTCCGCGAATCAATACTCCACTTTCGCCGATGTTGTTGCGGGAAGATCCGCTAGGTCCCCAAGTCCACGCCGGGGAAACTAGAATCAGCGGCCTCCGGGGGTGGGACCGCCGTTAAGCTATCGTCAAAACAGCCTCCTCCGACCCTTCCACCAACCTTCGACGATTCCTTTCAGCCGACACCTCACATCGCTGACGAACCCGTTTCTGCTGACATTGCCATTCGTGTCGACAACCATCCAGTGACTGCTCTAGTCGACACCGGCGCCGACTACTCAGTTATCAGCGCTGAACTTGTGGCTGAACTCAGGAAAGTCACGACTCCTTGGGGGCATGGACCAAACCTTCGGACAGCCGGTGGTCATCTCTTGACACCAATCGGCAGATGCACCGCAAGGCTGCAAATCTGTGAGTCGACGTTCGTTGCTTCTTTCGTTGTGCTTCCCGAATGCTCCCGGAAAGTAATCCTTGGCATGGATTTCCTTCGTGAGCACGGCGCTGTTATAAATCTTCAAGACTGCCTCGTAACGTTTGCTGACGACTATGGCCCGAAGCCTAGAGATACCAATCCGCAGAAGACTGCGCTTCGCATTGTCGACGACACCGTCACACTTCCGCCACGCACCAGTATGTTCGTTACAGTACAGGGCGACATAGACCATGACAGTAGTGGTATCGCTGAAGCCAACCTTTCGGTGCTCTTGTCTCAGCAAATCTGTGTTGCCCGCGGCATAGTTCAATTTAAACGTGGGATGACATCCTCCCTTATGTCACGTTCGCTTACAACACCGCTGTGCAAGAAACAACTGGATTCACACCATTCCGGTTGCTTCATGGCAGGGAGGTCACTACAATGCTGGATGCCATGCTTCTACCAGACAGACACCAGATTAGTGTCAAGACGAACGAATTTATCAGACTGGCAGACGCGGCTCGTAAGCTTGCAGTCGAACGAATCCATAAGCAACAATGCATCGACTCGCTGCGGTACAACGCTCGTCGTCGCGATGTCTCTTACCAACCCGGAGAACGAGTATGGCTGTGGACTCCCAATCGACAACGGGGCCGGTCGGAAAAGTTGTTACGCCGCTATTTTGGTCCCTATAGAGTTCTCCGTCGTCTCAGCGAAGTGAACTACGAGGTTCTTGACGAGGACATGGCTCGTCAATCCCGCCGTTTACAACAGCCACACGTCGTCCATGTTTCGAGGATGAAACCATTTTACCAACGCTGACTATTCGTCACACTCCCTTGAGTAGACTTACAGTGATTGTGAACACCCCCTTGTGTACTGCTTATCGTGTGTGTTTTCATCTGGCAATAATGTTATGACATCGGGACGATGTCCTTTGGGAAGGGGGGTAATGCCACTAGTACAAGTTCTGAAACTATTATTTCTACAGATGCTAGCATGCTTGTATGTGCCGCTGTTCAGAAGAGGACAAAGATGCGCGTGCAGAGAAAAACAATAGTCGTACTGCCGTTGTTCGAATCAGTTTGACGTCCTTGTGTGCCCTTATCAGCAGGTTACAGTCACGTTGTAACGTGACAATATATATATATATATATATATATATATATATATATATATATATATATATATATATATATATATATATATATATATATATATATATATCCACGGTGTACGGCAATACGATACGCTGTTTTTTTTGTTTTTCGTCTCGCGGTGCGAAAAATACTCGCCCGAGAGTCACGCAGTCTTCCACCACTGTGGGTGCATTGTTTTCTCCACCTTATTTTGTTCTTCTATTTTTTTTTCCTCGTGGTTGCCGTCGCTCGGGTTTCCATGATCTCACCCATTGTTCTTGGGAATTGCAAGCGTGCGCCGTTCCCAAAAAATCGTGAGGCGGAAACGAAGCATTGAGCTGTTGGCGCCTGAACGCGTATGACATCATCGCAGATGAAATTCCCGCGCCCACTTCCAACCTCAGCGTACTAGGGGCTTCTTATGAAGTAGGAGAGGTGGATGAAGTAGAAAAACAACTCAGTTCAGTGGCACTATCTGTATAGCAACGTTTCTAGACTAGGTAGATTGCAAAACTGAGCGATGTTGCGCGGCGCGGCCGCTGCCAGCGACAAATGTGGCACTGCTGTCGCATCCAGATTCGCGTCTGAAAATCTATTGCGAACGTGCACCAACTAGCAACTAACCGACAGCCTCGTATGTTATGCTATATATATCAAGCATTGTTTATTGTGAGCAGTTTAGAAAACAATAATTATACTGTATTCGCCTTACACCACTAAATATTACGCAGTATTAACTTTCTGCGGCAGCACAACAAATCTCGATAATATACTGTTGGCAAAGCTCTTTCAGAACGCCGCCACGGCGTCTTCCCACGACGACCACGCGTTTTTGTCTGCTAGCGGAAGCTTGTTGCGCCGCCAGTGCCACCAAACCGGAAGCTGTCCCGGCGCCGTGTGACGAGTAGTCTGACGCGGGGAGTTATGCAACTTACCCAGTCTAAAAACGTTGCTGTATAGTGGCACCATCTGTAGGAGGCGACGTGAAACTCGATTCTAATGGAAGCGTGCTCGCTGTAGCTGACGCTACGTGCGACATCGGAGTGCTTCGAAAATTTTCCCAGCCCGAAATATACCGCCTTCTCGTCTCTCGGGTTTGTTCGCGGTCCCGCTCCACGCATTCGGTGAGTACGAAACGACCTTCTAGCGATGTTCGTCGCGCTGTTAGTGCCCGAATCCTACCGAGTGTGCGGCGTGCGTAAGACGCACGCTTCACCGGCTGCACAGCTGTTTTCGTTTTGCCGGAAAGAAAGAAAGGACGCTTGCACGGGCGCCGCTAAGCTGCTGTTTGAACACATCGCGCGCGGTAGGTGCGTCCTGTTTTGTCGATTTCGTTCCGTCTATCAGCGGCTACCTCTAGCTGTGTGAACGGAGCTGCCTGCGGAAACGGGCAGGGCACTTTACGGCTGCGCACCGCAATTACGTTCTGGCGAGATAGATAGAACCTTGTTGAAGGACCGCTTCAAGGATTCTCTGAAACCAATGCGGTGCAACCTTGACTCGCGCGAAATTCTTGAGCAGAGTGTCAACGCGTGCTGTCTACACAGCTAGCGAGAGTGACGAATCGCACTTATTAATCAAGGCGCGTGTGAACTTTTTTTTTTTTCAGTCTTCCCATTTCGCTCGCTTGGCTCAGGGCCTTGCTACGCTTGTTCTAATCACATAACATGCCCCTGGTTTCTTTTCTTGCAGATCGCTATGGGACGTAAAGTGACCCTCGCTGTGTGTACCCTTAACCAGTGGGCACTGGACTTCGACGGCAACTACAAGCGAATTCTGAAAAGTAAAACAAAAAACACCTTTCTATTGTACTCGCGTCATTCAAGAAACGCAAATCTTGTTGTGCCTTCTTCGGTGCCCCTTCACTCTTATAACGTATCGTCTCCCTTTAACGTATTATCTATCTCTCTCTTAAGGTATCAAGGAGGCAAAGGCAAAGGGCGCTTCATTCAGATCAGGCCCTGAACTGGAAGTAACGTAGGTTTTATTTCTTTCTATCACTTGTTGCATAGTGCTCGTACATGTACGTGATGCTACCGCAGCTCTTTGGTTCTATTACAGGTTACCATGTAAAAGCACTAGAAATAAAATTAATTTATTGCAGTGCAAACAAGGTCTAGTCTCCTATAAAAGGTGGTAGTGAGACCGCAACCGCCACAATGGACGACTGGCAACGTAATGAGTTTGCTGGAACAATGACATACTGAGCGACTTGCGTGTTAGACAGAGCGCATAAAGATACTTCGTTAAGCTTTACATGCCAGAAACATATGACCGTAAAACATGTAACACTGTGCAAAGGAAAAGGTTGTGACCAACTTGTGATGCCTAGTTGCTGATTGGTCGCTATCATTTTTGTCTTTTACTCTGATCTTGTCCTTGCCGTCATGTTAACATGCACGATGGCGCACAATTGAGACATTCGTATTGAAGTGTGTTCATGTGAGACAGCCGTATACGCAATCATTTATGTGCTAATTGATGCTTAATTTGCGATTTCTTAAAGCATGTGGTCGACGATTAATCTCACTTGGCCTACGCTTACAACTTGCTAATTTCTTAGCTAACGTTAGCTGTGTCAGTGAAAGTAGAGCTACTAACACAGTCTGCCTTTGTGACAGTCAGATCTAACATGGATTCTGATTATTCACATCTTCAAAGTTTGAGCTGCACTTTTGTATTTGTCATCTCTCTGCAGGAAGTTGCAAATTTTCACTTTCTTTGTAACATAGCAATGGATGAAGCGTAAATTCAAAAACCAAGTGACCTTCATTAAATAATTTCTGATCTAGAATTCATAGCTGTGTTTGACCTTACAGAGGTTATGGATGCGCCGACCACTTCTATGAAAGCGACACACTTCTTCACTCTTGGGAAGTCCTTGCCTCGTTGCTGCGGGATCCAACATGCGAGGGTATTATGGTCGACATTGGCATGTAAGTTGACATACCTTTGATGTCCTTTTTTTTTGCCAGCATCTTGCATTCTAGCCATTATATCACATGATAAAAATGAAGAGAGTTAAACATTGCTGCAAATGAATAATACTAATGCATCTTATGCTTTACTAAGCAAGTTATTGCATAGAAAATGAAGCAGTAATTAAAGGACTTCGACAACAAGTAGTGTCAACTGCCTTCGAATTCCTGTTAGCATGGTCAGTGCAGCCTAGTGTCGGTCATCCAGTCTGAGGGGCCATGTCCAACTCAAATATGTCTTGTGTGCAGTTAGGCAAAGCCGTGTTTTCAGTTGGTGTAATTGTAACTCCAGAATCTTGTTCGAGTTGGTGCAATCGCACCACGTGGGCCTGTCATGTTCCAGATGATCATGACAATCGCCACACACTTGGTGCAGTGGGACCAGCTAGAATATGAATCTAGTGGTACATTGACGCCGACTGAAAGCACAGGTTCCCCTTGCGATTGGAGTTGGGCGTGCACCCTCCGACGAACCGACTGACACAAGACTTCACTAACTGCCAAAAGCCATGCTTTACACTGTTCACATTGTTTTTCATCGAGATAGTACATGTTGTGACATGTTCGTACAGATTAAAATTACAGATGAGCGCTGACTCCGCTGTTGCCCAACGCATTTCTTTGCTCTCCCCCTTCGGCCGGCTCCACACTTTCGCACATGTTTTCGCTTCTGCTTGCACTGATCAGAATGCAGAGCTCAATTTGTCAAGGCACATGGAAAATCATTCGGCACCTGTGCTCATGTGCGTACGGGCTGACTGGAAGAGGCAGGTGGCAGCAGGAAGCGGCAGATGCCAAAACAGCTGGGAGAAGAAACTCGGGAACATGACAAAGCGCAATTGTGCCTTGTTACTACAGCAAGGACAGAGAGAAGCCCGACCCTCAGTATCGCTTGAGGACCGGCTCCTCAAATCCGCCAGATTTTTCTCTTATTAGTGCCACCTGGTGAACACGCCATTTAATTAAGCAGGAACTAGCGTTGCATAATGTGTCCCTTCCACACAAGTAGAGTTTGCTCTTCTGCCTTATTTTGCTTCATGCATGTAGCATAGTACTTACTCTCATAATGCCTGTGCTTGTTAATGTTGGCTAGCTGCATTGTAATGTTGGCTACCACCGGACCGTTTGTTCTTATAACAATGTAATAAACTAATACATGTGTGTTGCCATACCTCTTGATCACTTCATCAAATGCTTCGAAGTTAACTCTCTCTGGCAGTTCTCTCATCAAAACCTGCTGCGGTACTCTAGCACCTCTTTGTTCCTTGCAGGCCTGTCATGCACAGAAACGTCACTTACAACTGCAGAGTCATCTTCCTGAACAAGTGAGTTCTCCGAGGCACCAGGGTGAAAACGAATGAAACTCCAACTAGAAGGAAGTATTGGTTACCTGGTGCATTACGCTGAGGGACACTACCATTGCCAGTTCGATGATTTCCTACCGAAATTTTTGCCAATCTTGCAGGAAAATTTTGCTGATTCGTCCCAAGCTCATGATGTGCGATGATGGCTGCTACCGCGAGTCGCGCTGGTTCACACCGTGGCAGAAGCCTCGTCGCGTTGAGGAGTTCTTTCTGCCTCGCATGATCTCCGAAATAACTGACCAGGTTTGTTTCTGTGCCTCTCGCGTTCTTTTGTGCTTCTCAAAGAGTGGTGTCTGCTTGCATTTAGTTTTTTTCCTTGCAACATGTCCTCAAGTGTATGGTTTGCTGATTTAGTGGGTAATCTATGCTCTTGTGATACACAATGCAGAATAAAGGTAACACGAAGACAAGAGAAAGGAGAACAGTGCTTGTCTTTCTTTTTTCATTCCTGGTGTTGAACTTATTTTGAATGTTTGCCAAAAAACACAGCTTCGTCAAAAAGATTGACAGCCGATTTTTCTGCTGCCAGCTTTTTTTTAGTGTAACAGAAAGCTTACCTGTCGGCATCACTAGTCATACCACAATAATGGGGAAAATGCTGGAGAACATTTTGAACACAAGTTTTTCTATCTGTGATGGCACTAAGTTCGTACACTGGAAGCATGCCGGAAACAATGATTTGTGAGTTTGATATTGACTCATCAGCATTGTTGGGCCGCGGTTGGATACGGAGCTAGTGCTTACTCGCGTAGAAATGGCGCCTGCTGATGGCAGCATTGTTCAGCAAACCTGTCCTACCTCACTGGTATGACACCTTTTTTTACCACCTAATATGCCTAAAATAAAACTCCAGTGCTTACATAAGGTAGTACAGTTTTAAGAGTATGTATAGAGTATATACTATAGAGTACAGGCTTAAGCACCTTGTAGGGTAGAACTATGTAACAGTTAACTGCATACAATATTTCAGTTGCCTCCTAACACCAAATAAACATAACATCATCTTCTGGCTAGGTGATGTTACACATCATATTTTGCAACTCTCTATGGCCGTCTAAATGTATTCGGCGATTCCAGCTTGAATTATGTACTGCATCATTTATGGTATTGTAACACATAGTTCATGTCTACTTATGAAAAAGTGCAAGCAAACACAAAAAGGAACGAAAGGGACAGCACTGAACTCGTAACTAGTTTATTTCGCAGAAAGAACGTGGTTAAAGGGACACTACAGTCAAATAACAATTTACGTTAGAGTGAAAGCTCAATGTAGGACATCATCTAAAACTACAATATTATCAACAGTGCCCTATTTACCGAGAAATCAAACTAAATGCACAAGAACACAAGCGCCGCAGTAGGGCATTTTCAAAATGATCCTGATGACATCAGAAAAACCGCCTACAATTAATCACTAGTAATCGATCTAGCTGCACTAAATAACCTTCCGGGCATCAAGAGACGCAATAAAATGCTGCTTGTTCGTTTCTGTTTCTTTCAATGTAACTTTCAGAAGTAACTTTCAATGTTACTGTAACACATAGTGTTTTCACTACTGCCAGCATTGTGTAACACATTTCAGCTGGCTTTCAGTCGCTTTAATTGAGGTTGTTCATGACTAGAGATGCTATTAGCAACTGAAATGGGCATCGATGCAAAGGCTGCTCTAGTTAGTCACTTTGATTGTGTATCGATCACATTGTCAAATCTTGCAGAAAGTGGTGCCCATCGGAGATGCCCTTATATCTACAAAGGACACCTGTATTGGATTTGAAATTTGTGAAGAGCTCTGGAATCCTCTGAGGTATTCAATAACAATCACATCTTGAAGCTCGAGGAGCTCAATAATTGCAGACCTTTTAGTTCCTGTTGCTTGCATAGGTTTACGTAGAAAAACATGTCTTTTTTATTTGTTTGCTTGCTAGTCCGAATTGTCGCGTGTTCCTAAGTTTTCAAGGTGTAAGAAACACGTTTTGTAGTTCAAGCACATATATGCTGCATTTAAAAGAAACTGTGCTATCTTAAGTGAAATTTGTGAAGTGAAATTCATAGCAGCTGGAGGATCATGCTCATAAGCACACTTGCATCAGTTTATTATTTCAAGTATCCTCTCCAAATAGAGTGAGGTATTCAAAAATAAACTGAATTTCGTGGAACCTGCAAATGTAAATATCTAAATAGTCTGCAATGGCAGGTGTATTAGCAGAAAATGATGTGGCAGGACCCTGACAGAAAATGGGTTAAAACACGTGAAATCGTGGAAACTTGTTGCTATATAGTCTGAGAAGCTGCGAGACATTTGATGCAGTTCAAACGCAGGGCACATTTGTATAAAGTGAGTTGATTGGTTGATGACTTCATTTATAAGTTTAAATTGCATCATTACCGAAATGCCTTTGAGGTGTTTTAAACAAACTATTTATTTGCGTGCTAGCAGGGAGCTTCGATAGATACACTTGTATAAGCAGGCCAGTACAACTCTGTTGATGCTTAATATACTCACTAGTTTATAAGAAGGAAAACTTCTTTCTTTCATTAAAATGGGCATCAGCTCTCACATAATGGCATCGCTGGATGGTGCCGAGATCATCGTCAACGGAAGTGGATCGTATCATGAGCTGCGAAAGAACTACGTCATCTGTGACAGAATCAAGTCAGCTACGGCGAAGGTGAGTGTGCCATCTCCCGAGCCGAGTTCTCCTTTGTGATGTTAGCTTCAGTGTTTTTAGTTTAAATTCACAATTATAAATTACACTGGAGCACCTGCAATAGGATTGCTCACTTACGCAGTAATACTTTGTTTGTCAAGCTATGCTGATAGCGTTTTCTGAACTTGTGGCAGTATCAATCATTTTATCAACCAGTATTTACTATTGACACTATGAATCAATAAAATATGAGTAAATATGTGTAAGGAGACCTCAATGTTACTAACAATGGCAAGGATGTTCTATGTTTATACCTTCAAGAAAAAAACCAATACAGTAGACGTATGTAGAACATTTTCAAAGAATGAAACAAACTGCTAACATCAGAGTGCTCGCAGATCTTTTAAAAAATGCTGTTCCCATCTCTGTTGAAAGGTTCTCAGGGTTCTGCTTGTAAAAGAACTATATTTAATAATTGTTTTAACTACATATTTTTTCGGTAAGCTCTGTTCGTAGATTACTTTTCTTATTACTTTGTGCCTTACTATCACATTAAATACCGTATTTGATGGTTTCTTTACATTTTAGTGTTCTAACTTCTGTAATGAAGCATATGTACCACTGCATTTTTGGGGGCTAATTGAAGGCGAAGAAGCATACAGGAAACAGCAGTTGCGACAAAGCTTGTGTTGTTGACTGATGCTGCGACGTCTTGCGGGGTTATTTTCATTCTTCATTGATTTAAAGAGACCTTGTTGTACTTGTTATATTAATTAATCATTTAATGAACTAGCAGTGATAGTTATTGGTTTTTGTTCGTCCTTTTTTATCGATAGTGGCCAAACATTAGGACACAAAATATTAGTCCGAACAGTTTACGTATTATGACATTTGAATGCGAACTTAACATGACTATGAAGGTGTCAACAGCTCCTGCTAAGCTGAGTAACAAAAGTTTATTCTTTAGGTTGTGTTGTCTCTTCTTTCAACAGTGTGGTGGCATCTACCTGTTTTCAAACCTGAGAGGCTGTGACGGTGAACGAGTTTACTACCAGGGTTGCTCGAGCATCGCCATCAATGGCGATTTTGTTGCCATAGCCAAGCAGTTTGCCTTGGAAGAAGTTGTAAGTGTTCTGCTTGTAAAAGAACTATATTTAATAATTGTTTTGACTACATACGTTTTCCGAAAGCTGTGTTCGTAGATTACTTTTCTTATTACTTTGTGCCTTACTATCACATTACATACTGTATTTGATGGTTTCTTTACATTTTAGTGTTCTAACTTCTGTAATGAAGCATATGTACCACTGCATTTTGTGGGGCTAATTGAAGGCGAAGAAGCATACAGGAACTGCAGTTGCGACAAAGCTTGTGTTGTTGACTGATGCTGCGATGTCTTGCTGGGTTATTGTCATTCTTCATTGATTTAAAGAGACTTTGTTGTACTTGTTATATTAATTAATCATTTAATGAACTAGCAGTGATAGTTATTGGTTTTTGTTTGTCCTTTTTTATCGATAGTGGCCAAACATTAGGACACAGAATATTAGTCCAAACAGTTTACATATTATGACATTTGAATGCGAACTTAACATGACTATGAAGGTGTCAACAGCTCCTGCTAAGCTGAGTAACAAAAGTTTATTCTTTAGTTGTGTTGTCTCTTCTTCAACAGTGTGGTGGCATCTACCTGTTTTCAAACCTGAGAGGCTGTGACGGTGAACGAGTCTACTACCAGGGTTGCTCGAGCATCGCCATCAATGGCGATTTTGTTGCCATAGCCAAGCAGTTTGCCTTGGAAGAAGTTGTAAGTGTTTGTGGAATTATGTTATTTTTCTAATACTCAATGACACAAAGTGCTTTGTTAGCAGGTCAATAGTTTTAATAACAGTGTCAGTTTCGTATAGAATTAAAAATCGGTTGGAGGCTAATTGTAATAAAGAGCAATCGCTCAATAGCACAGACTGAGAGCAATTGTAATCTTTGCATAACTTAAAGGGGCACGGCAACACTTTTTCAAGTAGTCAGGGAATGGATTCACTAAAGGAGCTCATTGCCTCACGAATTCACAGCCGCAAAAATTTTTAGAATCTGTCCAGTACGAGCATAGTTACAAAGATTTGTTGCACGCTACAATTGCATTCTTTCTTCTCTCATCCCGTCGAAAGAGCTGGAGAGGGAGGGCTGGCATGGGCAAAGAAAATACGTCACGTGCGCCTTGAGTCGTTGAGCTCTTTTTTCTTTTTTCTTCGAATTTGCAACTTTTCAGTGTGTTTACACACGCACACATGGACTAGTTGCTGCCTCCCGCGTCGGCCCTGGTAACCACCATGCTCAAATCAGCCAATGGCTGATAGGTGGCCGTCTACAAGTGATTTTTGAGCTTGTAGTGTTATTTGTCGAGAGAAGAGAAAGCGATTTCTAGCATACATTGAAAATTTGTTCTGATTTCCAGGCCGCGTTCTGCGCTATAATGTCTGGCTCGCGTGTTCTCTGGAGCCTTTACTACTGATTGGCAGGGTTTTCTCACCTGGCTCAAAAACTGTTGCAGGGACCCTTTGAGACTTTTTTTGCCTTCTCTGCTCCCTATTGGCTTGCCTTCATGGTCAAAAATCACCGAAGAAAAGACAGTACACTAGATGGTGTACATGCACTGAATGCTTTGCCTCCTGAAAGATATCGCCTGTCCTGTGTTCTGCTTCATCTTGTGTATTGTCCCTTTTGCGCTGCTTTTTAACCATAAAGTTAAACAATCTCACCCAGTTTTGTACGCTGTTTGCTTGCGTTGTATTTTATATATGACAGCTGACTCTAGCATTCGACAATTAAGAGGAAAATGCAAAATTGGAGAATCACCTGTTAATACCGATTCCTCGGGTATACTCACGGCTGCCTTTGTCCCAATTTATATTAATTCGAGAGAATAGATTAAATGTTGCTGCTTTGCCGTGATATTTATACCGCAGTACAGAATGGGCTTTTGATTTTATTAAGTTTGTGCTTCTCGAATGCTTCATACGTAGCCATGACCCTTGTGAACATTAGAGTGCAAAGCCAGACATTTACATTGAACAAGACACACAGAGTGGCTCCTTGTACCTGCGAATCTCACTCCCATCCTGTCTCTCTCGTCCTGTGTGAATGCCTGGTTTTATGCTTTAAGGTTGTCTAAAAGCTACGCACCTTCTCATTACCCTCAACTTCTTTTATTATGCTCTACTTCCGATAAGAATGCCTTTCTGTGTGTCAGACGTTTATTGTATTGATACAGCTAGAATAATCAAACCTTAATATGACGAATGTGGATATAATTTACTGTCAACATAACAAGGAGCTGTAAAGATTTTCTCGTCACTGCTACAGAATAATATATAGGTTATTAATAAATAATGATGTAATGGAGCTATTTTGTGCCAAATTGAACTTTATTGCAACAATGATTGATTGTTGTATCTTTTTATCTTGGCATCCTTTTAATAAAATGGTATCGTTTCAATTGCAAGTAGAAATAATTCATTCATTTGAAGTGAGGCTGTGTTAGGTTACTCGTAGACAAGGTTAATCTTCCTTTGTTTGTTTATTTATTTAGTTATTTGTTTGTATGTTCTTCTTTTTTTTGTACTTTCCAGGAAGTCACAACGGCCACATTAGACCTGGAGGATGTCAGAGCATACAAAGTGAATAACAGGAGTCGAACCTTGAAAGTAAGTGCTGTATTGTTTGTGAATAATTATTTTTTGTGTTAAATAATTCTAGTTTTAGGTGGTTTCAGAGCCACTGAGCTGCACCATGTTCATTATTGCTTTCTGCTTAGTAAAATTTTTTTGTCAGGATCAGGTACTGTTGATGTGAAGCTTTTTTGTGTGTGTGTCCGTCTGTATGCGTGTGCGATTGTGGCATGTATTTTATGAGCCATTTCCAAATACTTGTAAAAGCTAATTGACTCTGCTTAACGGGGCCGAAAAACTGTCAGAACTAATCGAATGCCATATTATTGAAAGTGTCAAGAAAGCAATTAATAAATGTCTGTTTGGTCAATGTACTTTTATTTTCTTTAGAGGTACACTCGTGTCTCATTATAACAAAGTTTCATCTTAACACGAAATTAAGGTTGTTATGCCTGCAAATTTGTATAAAGGTATATTTCTATCGCTATATCTCTAGCTAGACTATTTTTGTTTACTTTGTTACAATCAATATTTCCTCATGTCTGGATTTCTTATATCGAGCTTTGAGTGTACTAAAATCCTGTAATATTTTGGGTGAATGCCGTGGCAAAGCATCAATTTTCGTCATTTGCAGCTTCGTTTACAATGTCAACGCAGCTCAAGACTCTGTGTCTTGAGCCGAAACGTGGTGCGAACCATACGCTTAGTACACAAAAACACTGTGATTTTGGATGGTAACCACATTTTTATGAAAGCCCACAGACATTGTGGAATTCCGCAAAGGCCTTTTTCGCAGCTTTGCACTGCATATTTGTGGTGTTTTTTACTTGGCACACTGCCTGAATTAATCAGATTGCTGCCAAACATGACTGACTTATCAAAAGCCTGATACCATTGAACAATGTATGTGACCGCTGGGACCAGAAAACACGTCTGAATTATTCAATTTTTCAAATTCACGATCATTGAATTAATGACTGTATAGTGGATTTAGGGAAATCGGAAAATGGCTCCTTCACTAAAGGCAGACCTAGTGAAATTGTAAAATTGAGAAATGGCTCATTCACTGGAGGCTTGTGTAGCTTCAGTGGCGTAAATCCCGCTTGCAGTGACTGTTTCACGACAATCATTCCAGGGAGCAGAATCGGAAGGCTATCCACGCGTCGTAGTCGACTATGCCCTCTCCAGCACAGCCGACATGGCCGTCTCGCCGAGTCCAGTAATCAACTGGGCCTTCCCTACGCCTGAGGAAGAAATTGCGTGAGTATTCAAGGCACAGTTAGGATAAAAATGCCGGGACGGAATGCTGTCAAACCAAGTTTGTCCAGCATTGGCAGCAACTACCGCTGAAAGCATGCCACGGTGTTGACCTCTGCGCCGACGCCCCCGCAAGGCAAGAAGTGACGTGCCGTCCGCATTTCGGTTCGTTTTGCCGACGCGGGAATCGCGCAACAAAATTTGGGGTTTCAAGGCACGTGCTCTTACTGACCACTGGACAGAAATGCAAGGAAGACAACAGACCAACACTGTGCATGCCCATTGCCATAACAGCGTGCCTGTGAGGACGAAAAGGAGTAAATTGATGTTGGTTGGGCTTCAACGTCAAGTGCACGCACAATATCATTTTCTGGGTTTGTGGTTGGAGTAGTAAAGCTATTGCTCTAATAATTCTTCATCATTCTTAATTACGCACCAGATTAACGACAGAAAGTTGAGCTAAAGATGCTGTTCACATGTGACATGTCTATCTACCTAGTTTAATACCGGTGTCACGCGGGCTGTTCTAATCGCGATATTAGACCGACCCAGACCGTATCTTGATCGTGATCAACAATCGTCGCTGCTACAAGGCCCAACTTGATCTGGGTCCAGTTTGGTGCAGACGTCACTCAAATCGAAATCCGGCAGCCAGATCGCGACCGTTTTTATCTCGAACTGGCCTAATCGCGATTAAAAGTTAATAGGTGACTGCATCCGGTCCTGTTCGAACCTTACCCTGATCACAATCCGAATCGCTCGTGTCACGTCGATGGTAGAGAATGAAGACAAATATAAGAAAGCTGCTTGCTCCAAAAAAATATCAGCTTGTTAGCCCACTTTCTCATTGAAAGAAAACTCTAAAGCAGTGCTGGAACGAAACTCATAGCACAGTAAAATGAAGTGGGGCACCTCCAACATTTGAGCACCAGAAATCGGTACGAAGTGTTGAATTATGGGCAGAGCAGGCAGACATGCTGCTTTGGTCAAGCAACTAGGAGTAACTAAAAGAAATGCATGTTTGTTGTCCATCACTGACTCTTTTATGAACAGCACCAGTTTGACGGAAACGTGAAAGTAAAAAATGATTGCATACAGTGTGCAATTTTTTTAAGGCATACAGATGGCTCTCAATCTTGGTTGATTGTCAGATTGCACAGCATTCGCTTTGCTGTAGGAAACTATGGAGATGAAGTGTAGGCATCCATTGAGTGGGTTTACTCAATCATTTATACCTTACCGCCTGTGAAAATCAGTGACCTGGATAAATGCCCGCTGGCAATAAAAAAAGCTGCTAATGCTCTATTTCAGTGTTGAAACCCATTTTTGGATGAGCTCGTGTGTAAGTGGCAATGCTCTTCACTGAGTAATGATGGTAAACAACGGTTAGAACGCATTTATTGTTTATTCTAAGCTCAGCAGTTGAAAACACTAGTTGTACAGTGTACATCAAAACATAGATGGGCTTTTGCAGTGCACTTTTCTTATTCTTGTTAAGCGGCTAGCTCGTTGACATTGCCAGTGAAGGTCGCCTGTCGTTGCCATGTGCATCTGTGCTTACATTGACATTATTGCACCAAGTATAACAACTAAGTCAGTGCCATTGCGTAAAAAGGGGTCCTTCACTTCCTCAGTTGTGTGGCGGCAAAACGAGTCAATAAAGAGCATGAACCTCTTTGCGAGCGTTGCACCAGGCCTCTTCACCCATACTGTCTTGACCCAGTTCACGAACAAGTCACTGTTTGTTCACACATTTTCGTGTGTGCACACCACCTCAGCATCTGGCAAAGGAACCTTCGGGAGAGTTTTCCTTTTCAGGATGACGTAATGTCGCAGTTTTGTGCCGTCAACGAGGGCACTAAGCAAGACTGCAGTGCAGTTTCGTGTTCCCGTCATTCAGCACACTCACCGAACCACTGCCTGTCTTCTCACTCACTGTGTTCTACGGCATTTCAAAATTAACGGAAGTTTCATCCGCATTGCTGATTTGCGAGAAAATGTAATCGTGCTGCTTTCTCAGGCCAATTACATATCTCTGGTACTTGAGAAGTTTCTCCTCGTCAGAAGCCACCAAGAGTTGACATATTTTAGTCCTCCGTCTGATTGAGAGCCCATGTCGCTTCATAAAACAATGCGGCCATCCGCAGCTCGCACGGAATCTGTGAGGTAGGCCGAGTTCCTTCAACAGTCGCCGCGCTTCCATGTGGGCCATCTCGGTCGATACGGCGTGACCCCTGCTTCTCACATCTTCAATGAACCTTACTAGCTGCACCTCCAGCTCAGTGTAGGCACCGGTCTTGGGACCAGGAAAGGACCTACAGTCGCAGTGTGCGGCTTGTAGGCTGTCTTTCTTCTTTCTACACAGTCGCACGCAGGACTTGTTCACATTGTGCCAGTCTTCCCACTTAGCGATTCCTGAATTCCTCGGCGACTGTGATGATCTTAAGCTATTGCTGTGCAGTGAAAGACTGCCGCCGGATGCTACTTACGGTGACTGAACAGATAAAGTTAGACTTGGCGAATGAGTGAAGATGTGGAGAACTTGTGCTATGAGCGAGGTAAAGAGAGCTCACACTCAGCGACAACTTTTCTTGACAGCACTGTGGAAGCAACAGAATTGAAGTGCATGCCTGCTACCGCGCCAATAGTAGTACTTAAGTTTACGGATAATATCTCATTCTTGCTGAAATAAATACTACTTTATTATTTTTGCTGGAAGTCATAGATAAGATACAGGTATTGTTCACTTTGGAAAAAATTGCTTTCTTTTTTGTCAATTTCTTAGACAGCACCACCTTTTTGGCAAGCCCTTTCTCAAACTAAACTTGGCTATGACGTAGGGGCATGTGGAGGTTGGTGGAGGGTCACTGTGTAGCCGCAAACAACCAAAAAAGGCATACTTCTAATGTGACAGCAAGGTTTACACTGAACAATTGAATTGTCCCTCCTGAAAGGTTTCTCTAAACGCCTTAATGATGCATGCTAGCAAAAGCAATATGGGCCGCATGCTGCCGTACTACTTGCAAAGCAACACGAATTCGCGGAAACCGCCTCTGTAGCCTTTGCTACGCTGTTAAGAGGCTTCACAGCACAACACGCATTGCTGTAAAACAGCTTGATAGGAAAAACCCCGCGTATTGTTTGCACCCCTACTTGGTCGCTGAAATTTTCAGGCTTTTGGTGTTATACACATTAAAATACGGTAAAATAAACTTCAAAATGCATGCTGCAGGACTGAGCCATATGTGGAGCCCCTCTCGACAGCGACATCAACGCAGTGGGAGTGTAAAGAAACCTACGTCAAGAGTTTGTGCTGGCTGTTTCCTTCCACACGCCTTGCGCTTGCAATAGCTGCAATTTTTTTCTCTGTGCCTGCGACTTTGTGTGTCCTGGCTGTCAGTGCGGTACCCACTCGCGCATGCCGCCACGTTACATTGTTTTGTGGTTACGTGGTCAGCTGTGTTTACCTCGCTACCGGTACGGCTCCTAGTCAGCTTGGTGCTCTTTGAAACCGAAACTGTGACTGGGGACTCTAAAAGTGTCTTCACTCGTGCCAGTAAGGTTCTCAGACGTGATAAGTGGGTCATAATCCACCGATCGCAAAGAACAAAAACAAGAACAAGGTGCTTCTTTAATGCGTGCTCAGACTTTTTGCTCGTCAGCTGACCCCTGTTGCACTGTTTCATTATGACGACATTGCTGTGCTCACCATGGATCAATGTGCAGCTTGGGACCTGCCTGCTGGCTTTGGGACTACCTGCGGAGAAGTGGACAGGGCGGCTTCTTTGTCCCGCTGAGTGGTGGAATCGACAGTGCCAGCGTCGCGGCGATCGTTTTTTCCATGTGTCGCATGGTCTGCGCAGCCGTGAAGAATGGTGGTAAGTTGGGCTTCAAGCCTCGAAAGCTGCTCACTCGTACTGTATTTGCCCGATTCTAAAGTTACGTTGGGTTTTTCTGAAATTCCCTGAAGAGCAACTGACTGACAATTTATTGTGAATTCCACACTGCGTTTTGCGCTACAGCATTTGGCTCGCATGTTCTTGGAAGCCTTCACTATGGATCGGCAACGATGTCTGACCAGGCTCAAAAAGTGCTGCAGGGCCCCTTTAGGCACAAGAAAACCAAGGCAGCGAGTTTCATCTTCTAGAACTTAATTTATAAAAAAGCATTAATGTGTACATATATTCATTTCATTAAACATACAACTACTTCATATTGCAAACAAATATTTGTGTTCACAAATTGGGACTTTCAACTGCTCCGAAAGGCTCATTTCCTACTCCAAATCGGAATTTTATGTGCTTCAGAAGCCAAGCCAAAAATAGCTTCGATCAATCGCATTACTGTTGCCCTGGTTTCCTGACGCACTGCTTCGTTTATCTCAGATCCGGATGTGTTGAGAGACGCCAGGCGCATAGTGGGCGACCCCGAGTACGTGCCGAAGGAGCCACGAGAGCTGTGCAACCGGGTCCTCGTCACATGCTACATGGGTACGGAGAACTCGTCACGCGAGACTCGAGCCCTGTCCAAGGATATGGCCAACCAGATTGGAAGGTGAAAAAGGGAATTCATTTACTTTTGGAGGAAGTTGAAAAACACTATGGCCTATACAGGGTGTTTCAAGAAATGTGTCCAGTATAAGTAAAAATAACAGAAAATAGGTATCTACTTGTTACCTGCTTCGTTATCTTTGCTGTGGCAGAGGGCATCTTATTGTGCATACAAACATTAATTATGGCAGTAATTATATAAATGAAAACAATTAACTTATTTAACCAGTGGAAATAGGTGTTCGAGTCAAATGGGCGAGTTCAAGTCTTTTCTGCAAATAGTTCATAGCCACTTCGAAATTTCTTAAATGCGGCCACTGGTAATCACTGTGGAATGATAAAATCTGGCTAATTTCGCTGGCTAAAATTGAAACTGACTTGCCAAATACGGCATCTTGCATTCATTTCGAAAACTCCTTTATTAGCTATTAGCGAAAACTCCTTTATAGCTAGCTACGGAAACACATTACATAAATATATTACGGTTCCTTTCTGTATACGAGTTCTGGTTCCTTTCTGTATATGAGTTCTGTGTTTGCCTGCCTCACGTCGTAACTAGTCTTAGTTGCAAAAACTGCTCAATCCATATGGTAATGCGATGATGATAAAAGTAGCCAGCTAAGGTTTTGCAGAGTGAGCTAGATATGTGCCGTGCATAAAATAATTTTTAATGAATTTGCAAAGAATGCACAGCTTTGTCACTCACAATACTTCACATCGTGTCAGTAAAAGCATAAAAGCTTATTAGAAGCCTAGCCAAGTTCAAGAAATTTCAAGCCAAGTTCAAGCGGAACTTGGAGGACCACTATCACGAGGATGAAATCATCGCTGCTTGAAAATCGCACGCGAGGGGCAGGCTAGTGCGGTGCCAGGTGCGGCACAGTCGCTGCAGTTGACAAAATTTTTTTTTCTTTGGTGGTGTCTCGAGTTGAACTGGCTTGGCAAAAAAATTGGCGCGCATGGTTACAGTTTGCTGCTAGTCTCGTAAACATATGGAAAGCCTTTCCGGTGATTTTTCCGTACTGGCAATGTTCGTGCATGTGCACTCGTCAGCCTGTTCCGCATTGCCGCATTTCCGTAACGTGTTTTCGTAGTTTGCTAACACTCTCTAATGACAACACTTTTCCCCTTGCCGTTATCAATCATCAATCTACGTACTTCGTTTCGTGGCAACGCTTTCCTGCCGCAAGGTCGCTTACCGACGCTCGTTTATTCTCCTCCCCTTATCACGATGGCCATTGAAAGCTTCAGGGTGCTGTTCAAAGATTACTCATGCCAGTTTACTGTGGGTATTCGTGGCAGCGTAGTGCCATAGTAAATAATTTGGTCTTCTGCTTCTTATCGTTTCAGCTATCACATGACAGTAGCCATTGACGCAGCTGTGACGGCCATTGTCGCAATCTTTTCCACACTTACGGGCCGCATTCCCAAGTTTCGAGTCCTGGGTGGGGGCTCACGAGAGGACCTGGCCTTGCAGAACGTTCAGGCCAGGCTAAGGATGGTTCTTGCCTACTTGTTTGCGCAGCTCATCCTCTGGGCTCGAGACCGACCGGGCGGTCTGTTGGTCCTAGCCACTGGCAACGTAGACGAAGGGTTTGTATCCTTCGCAGTTTGTTTACACATTCGACAATTTTGTGCTTAGACTGCCCCAAGTCTATTGTTGGTATGATAACCACACCAGCTGGGCTAGATATGACAACTTGGGAATGCAGCAAAAAATATTTTGCATGCATGAGGTTGATTGAATTGTCTGCACGCATTTGGCCTGCAGATTAATAGCCATTTGGGTTGATAATCTGGGTTGCTTTTCATTTTTGTTCATTGTGAACTACACCAGATGAACAACTCACAATAAAACTCTTAGTTGTTATAAACAAAAAATAGCTGGTGCCATGCATGTAAACTGTTCACGCCGAAGTAAACATGGTAAACATAAACTAAACGTGACCCAAACATCAAACGTTGCTTCATTATTTGGTTCATGACTTAGTTTATGATTAAGATAGATTAACTTGTGCAAAAAAAAACAGAACTTTCAGAAAGGAAACGCAGACACAGCGCTGTTTTTTCTTGTGCTGGTAAATCTAGTTTAATCAAACATCACCTAAATGTGTCCTGGATGTTGCCTGAATGTGGACAGCACGTAACCCGAATTTCAAATGTCACCTGAACATCACCAAATAGAGCAACAGTAATTTTGCTGCTCTGAAAATTCAGCAGAAAAAATCAAAATTAATAGATCAAGTGCTTCCAGTCAACCTATGGTCGTGTCAGAAGTCCGCACTTACATTCATTAGATTTTAGCAGATATGGACTTAATGTGGCTATTCATGTGTCAACTGCTATAGCTCATTGTGGAGGCAATAAATGTCTATGAATGAAAATAATTTTGCTGAATGTCGTATCTGAGGTGCCAGCATTGGAACAGTTTATTAGTGACAACATGAAGCTGCGACGACGTAATCCTGGACATTGACTCTCTCTATACAAACGGCTGAAGCGACACTTGGGACAGATGCTTTCAATATTAGAAAAACTGCGCACCATAAGAGACCAAAAGACTTTTATCGCACAAACACAAGTTAACAAAAGTCTTCATTGTCTTTTCTGTTGCACCGTTTTTTTAAAGGGGCCCTGCAACACTTTTCGAGCATGATCAGAAAACGCTGCTTCGGTAGTAGAGGCTCTCAAGTACAAGGTGAGACAAATGTTACAGCGCAGCATGCGGCCTGAAATTCACAATAAATCATCGAAGTCAGCTAAGAATGACTTTCTCTTCTTTCGACAAATGAAGGCAGACACTCAAAAATCACTCGTCGCAGGTCGTCTATCAGCCATTGGCCGATTTGAACGTGGCATGCTTGGTCATTACAGAAATCGCCGTGGGAGGCCGCTTTTTTTCTGCGCAGGCACGCGTGATCACACATAAAAAGCCATGTACTCGAAGAAAAAAAAAACAGTGCTCAAGATTACGAGGCACACGTGACGTATTTTCTTTGCCCCTGCCATCCCTCCCTGCTTAGCTTCCAATGCTTTCGTCAGGTTGAGAGAAGAGAGATGTGCGATTGCAGCGTGCAACAAATCTTTATAATTCCGCTCGTACTGAACAGATTCTTAAAATTTTTGTGGCGTTGAATTCGTGAGGCAATAAGCCCTTTTAGTGAACCCATTTCATGGTTACTTAGGAAGTGTTTCAGGGCTCCTTTAATAATGTATTGATACCTACTTACCCAACTTCCAGTCCTACTTAAAGCTTCATAATGTCTCCCGCAGTGGCACCACTGTCACATAGCATGCTTTCTATGCCTGATCATTATGTAGTAAAGTCAAACATTTCCAATCCTATTTTATGTTTACTTCTTTATATGCAGTCATTGGTAATGTCGATTTTAGTTGTATCTAGTACAATAGTTTATGTTAGTTATATCGAGGATATAATTATCATAATGCATTGCACATCCTGTGCTCTCTGCAGAGATAATTTGTTAAATGATGCTGGAGCTATTTAAAAATCATTCCTCTGCTGTTCAAAACTTTTTATAATTCTTTATCGGTTTTATTCAGCATGCAGATATACGAGGCTTATTCAAAGAGTAAGGACCGTTCGGTCTTCAAAAAATAAATATCTGCTAGTAAATGGTTCTATTGCCTGGTTTAGTTTAGTACAATTCTTGTTTACTTTTCTACGTAATTACTGCTAACTTCTAAGCACTTTTCGTACCACTGCACCAGTTTCTTTAGTCCCTCTGCATAGAAATTCACCGCCTCGGAATGTTTGGCTGTTTGAGTAGGTTTGTACATTTGTACAAAGTGTCCGCCATAGATCTGAACGCAATACTCGGCCCCATTATTGAACGGATCCAATGGTCTTAAGTTGGAGACTGCCACTTCCTCACACACACTTTGTGAATTTCGAGCTTTCCCATAACAGTCGTGTGAAGTGTAGAGCGTTCAACCGAAGGAAATTTATCCAACTGACTACAGAGAGTCAGTCATCGATCTAAACGCAATTCTCGGCCCCATTATTGAACAGTTCCGATGTTCTTAATGCGGAGCCTGCCAATGCGCTCTTCGTTGTGCCAATCATGCGGCCATTTGGGAAGTGTCCGCACCATTTTTTAACCTTTGCTTCACTCATCACTTTTGTTTCATAAACTATGCACAGCTCACTGTGGATTTGAAAAGCTCACGACCTTTCTGCATGCGAAAATCGTATCGCAGCTCGTATTTCTCAACCGGTGGGAGCAACGATTCTGGGAGACAGTTTCATCTCCATTGCTCGTCAAGTAAACGATCACTGTGCCAGAACAATAACTTCAGCACCTTTCTGCAGAATGAACGGATGGCCCTGCACAGATAAATCTTTATCCTGACACGTAGATATTTAAATGTAAGCAAACGGCCCTTCATTTTGAATAAACCTACAACATAACCTCAGCAGGTTTCAACAAATTTTACCTCATGTTCAACCACCCCTCCTTAGTCGCACTTAGCTGTTTTGTAGAGCAACATTATAGACCATCACTCGCATTTCTGCAGATGTCAGCATGGTTGAGAAAATAGCTGCAACAGACTCGTTTCATTACTCTACAAGGTTCTTTTCTAATTCGGTTTAGGTTTAGATTCGGTTTAATTCGGTTTAGATTCGGTTTAGGAACCTTCAACTTGTCATGCATGTCATGTGGTTTCGTGCAGGCTTCGTGGGTACCTGACCAAGTATGACTGTTCGAGTGGGGACATCAACCCAATTGGAGGCATCAGCAAAGTTGATCTGAAGCGTTTCTTGAAGTATGCCTGTGAAACATTCAAGCTGTCGGCGCTCAACGAGTGAGTTGTTTTATGTTTGTTTGTATGCTTACCTGAAATCAGAGCAAGTAATTGAACATTTGTTTATATGTGTGTCTTGTTTTGTGATGTTTATCAATTTTGTGATGACAAATACTATGTAATAAGAGGAGTATCCGGTGCCACGTACAGGCACCAACGTCTTATGAAATTCAGTGATTTCTTTTAATAGAAAAAAAGAAAATTCACGAGAAGACGGTGGTTTGTGTGAATATCGACACCTAGCGACTTTTTTCAAATCATTTCAGAATACTCAAGGCCACCCCAACCGCAGAGCTGACCCCACTGAAAGACGGACACACCGTACAGAGTGACGAGGTGCGTTTCATTATTGTTTCATTGTCTTGGCATTGACTAACGTTGAGCTGGACTTTGGCTTCAATTCATTATAGGGTACCTCTTCTCCTTCCAACATCTCTATCAAAAACTTGTGTGGTGAAGGGGCTCTAAAGTGAAATTGTAAATTGGTTCTGGACAATTAAGTTATTATGCTTGAATGCTGTTATTTTGATAACATTAATAGGTTTACTATTAGCAAAGTAAATAAGGGTGACAGTTCTTTTCTATTCATAATCTTGCATGAAAATTGCAATGATTCGTGTCAAGCATGACATCATTGCTTTCAAAGCACCCTTGCATGTTTTCATATAATTGCTCAAGCAGTGTTTATGAAATTTATTATATTTCGTGTTTGGATCCATAGGCGTGTGCACGGAGGAAGGGGGGGGGGGCAGCAAAATCAGCCTCATACATTGACACGTAATAGGGATGAGGGCGCTGCGGCTCTGGGGAGGGGAGGGAGTGGAATGTCAGCTCTATACATTGGCATAATAAGGGGAAGGGGTGACATGATTGGGAGAGGGCACATTTGCAGTGCTTTGTGCATGGCGGGCTTCAAGGGGATCATCTGAAATAACCGAGTTGCAGCCAAATATGGTCGAATCGAGGAAAGTTTGATGACATTGAATGATACATGTGCTTGCCGGGACCGGAGAACACATCCAAATCATCCGATTATCTCAACGGAAAGCTAAGTGACGAGATTGTGCTGTATACCTTTGACATAACTGCATCGCTAGTGTTTCTGAAATGGAAGAAGAGCTGTTATTCACTTTGCTCCTTCTCTGTCATTCTCTGTTTAGTGTTGCAAAACAGCGCTGCAATATAAACTACTCATGTATAATCTACACAGGCTGACATGGGGATGACATATGAGGAGCTCAGCACGTATGGACGACTGAGAAAGCAGCTTGCGTGCGGTCCGTATTCCATGTTCAGCAAGCTTGTTCACCAGTGGCAGAACAAGTGGACACCATTTCAGGCAAGTCGCTAGGCCTTTAACCCCCTACTCTTGCTACTCTTGCTCAAGGTAAAATATGAGGTATGCTACTCTTGCTCAAGGTAAAATATGAGGTATGTCTGCAGAAAACCCTTCGCGCGATTGATGATCTGCCGTGCCCACCAGCAAAAACAGTTGGCCCAATCGTGCGCAAGCCATGCCTCGAGCTGTGCGCGGGTCAGGCACGAGCCGAGTACGAGCGGTGAAAGTTGCGTGCGATGCTGGGGGTGCCACAGCCAGCTTGGCACTGGGGTTTGGACTTTTGTGCATGGTGTGTGGCAAATGGCTACGTTTTCTACCCCAGGGAAAAGAGTGTCAGCTAAGAAGGCCATGTCAAGCCCTTAAGAACAACCAGCTTTGCTGTTTCTTAAGCTTTACCTGACTAGTGTAAACTTCTCCCTTTCTTTTTGTATATCAAGAACATTTCTCCTCAAAATGTTTCTTTTAATTTGACACCTTCAGTAACTTACTCCTAAAAGCAAGGTTTTTCATTTTGAAAATAATTGTTAAAGGGAGTGCCTAGTCAGTTAGCATGACTAAGTTCATTGTTATGTAAGAAAGATAAAACAGCATAAAAAAAGAACATACAAAAGACACGGATATACCGAATGCACAGAAAGATTTACGGTTCCATCTTCTTTGCAGTGTTTAATCAAGCACTAACCAACTTGCCCTAGCATCCGTTTTAGCTGTAGTTGCTCATGGAAAAGGCCGGCTATCTGCTCATAATCAGCAATGAAGAAGAGCGCCCCTTTGAAATTTTCAGCTTTTCTATAAATGTTTAACGATTCATTCCGACAAAGACGAAAAGCTTTTCCACAGTAACGAACCAACAACACTCGTCTTACCTCCACCGTACGCCATTTTCAAAACGCGTTCGCGAAAAAATGGGAAACAGTAGACGTATGGAAAAGAAATTACCGTATTTACTCGATTCTACCGCGCCCTCGATTGTAAGGCGCACCCAATTTCCACCGCGAAAAAAAAAAAAAAAAAAAAACGCAAGACATCGATTGCAACGCGCACCCATTTTTTTTTGCTGGCCCGCACGATCACACCACTCGAAAAAACGATTCCTTTCGGGATTGTCTTCCATTTAAATATGAGGTACGGGCGAAGCTTGTGCCCATCTGACGTGTAACAGAGCATTGCCGTCACTGTAGTTTTACCGTGGACCGATGTCAGCACGCGAACTTGCTTCGCCCCCTTCTTCTCGACAGTTGTGGTGCCAGGCATGTCGAAGTAAAGAGGCGTCTGATCGGCATTCCAGATTTGCCCAAGCAGGTAGCCGTTGTTGCGCCGCAAGTTTATGACGAACCTCTGAAAACTGTAAAGCTTTTCATCGTACTTCTCCGCAAAAGTTTTCGCATGTGCATGTTCCCCTTCGGAGGGAAGAGCCTTTCCTCTTCATATAGTTAATTAGCCAGCACCTGCTCGCTTTAAACAGGCTCCGCATTAGACTTTTTTCTAAGACTAATTGCATAGCCCGCACTTGGAGCAGTTCTGTCGTCATGGGCCACTGTGCCACTCGCTCCTCAAGCACATACTCGCGGAGCAGCTCTTCGATTTGCGGAAACCGACCCTGCTGTGGTTCACTGAAGCCTTTGCGTGAAGCTTTGCTGTCGACAATCTTCTGCTTTTGTATCCACCGGTCCCGCACGCACGTTTCGAGAAGGACCACGACGCGGCCCGATTTCCGTCCGTTTCTGCACACGCGATGACTTTTCTTTTAAAAGCGGCATCGTGGTGCACTCGAGTTTTTGGAGTCGGCCCTTCCAAGTCATCGATGCTAATGCACTACTAGATGACGAACTCCTCAGCACACGTACGAAGTGCCGCACATGGTAAACACATAGGCAGAAATAGCCGACGCACCATGCCATAGCCTGAGGCTATGACCATGCCGACGCACGTAGGGGGCGGCCATTTTGGATTTGCGATGGCAATAGATTGACCGTAATTTTTTTGTTCGTACTCGATTCTAACGCGCATGCGATTTATGAACTCGCTTAAGCGGAAAAAAGGTGCGCGTTAGATTCGAGTAATTACGGTACTAAGTCAGTACTGCCATCTTTGAAGTTACACGCGGTACGCAACTAAGCATGTCTCATTCATGGGGAGATATTACTTCAAGCAGACAAACTACTGACCGAAAAAGCCTTGTGGACAGTTGAGTGTCGATGAGGTTTTGTTGATCAAGGACATTTGAGAGGTTACAGCAGTTTTTACAATATTTTTTTAATGAAACCTAATAACTTGCAAATTTAGGTGTCATATTGATACGGTATGAGCCGGGCCATGTTTTGGGGACAAAGTTAGAGGAAGAAGAAGTTACTTGGTTCGGGCTATGTTCGCCATCATCGCCGATCAGTCACCTGATCTCTCCTGTAAATAAACACAGTTAAACTCAATCTAACCATAACAGTTTTATGGTGGAAATGCTGGGTACCTAACCAAGCAACACGGTTCTGCAAAAACCTGAACTACGCCAAAGCCGCCGCATTGCTGGGCTACCCCCGTTACCGCTGGTGGGCGAGATTTTTCACGGTGAAGACGGAACACTGAACCCCTGCAGCTGACGGCACTGCACCACCAGTTCCAACGACACCTTTACTACCGACCTCAGCCGCGGCTGGTCTATGGCAGCATCAGCATCTAATAGAGCCCCGTCCTTTCAGGGGCAAATCTAGCGAGGACGTGGACGAGTAGATCAAACATTACAAGCGGGTGAGCAACTACTACTCTTGGGACGGGGCAACTCAGTTGATGAACGTGGTGTTCTTCTTGAGGGACACGGCGCTCACATGGTATGAGAACCATGAGGACGCCCTCACAACGTGGGAACGCTTCGTGTCCGAAATCAATGAGTGTTATGGGGACCACGTGGCAAAGAGAAAGCAAGCTGAACAAACACTGCTGTAAAGAGCCCAGGTCCAGGCGAAATGTGCACGATGTACATCGAGGCGATCCTGAAGCTATGCAAGGCCACTAACTCTTGTATGTGCGAGGAGGACCAAGTCGGCCACCTGTTGAAGGGCATCGCAGGGGATGTTCATCACTTTCTTATCGGCAAAGACAGCATTGGTACAGCAGCCGATGTCATACAGCACTGTCGCACGTTTGAGACGCTGAAGATGAGGCGCATTGCTCCTAAATTTGGTCAATTACCTATGTGACCACGGTAGCGAGTGTTGACAACTACGCGCCTTCTGATCTTAGCGTCTACAATATGTGAGATCGTGCAGTGAAGAACTCGGTCGACACACTCGCGTGACGCCTTGCGAAGCTACACCCTTGCCGATTCCAGACCATCATCAGCATCCTGTTTCCATTGCTGCAGCAGACATCGAGGTGTATGACTACGTTTCTGGCCCACCACCGAGGCCGCAACGCAGTCACTACCAAGACACCAGGCACCAGCGTCCGCTTCAGTTACCCTCGACAGCTGGCCGCCGACTATCAGAACCTGAACGAATACACACCTGTGTAACCTTGCCCTCGCAATGCTTTCCAAAATGCATATCGTCAACCTCCTGCGTGCTACAATATGTTAAAAACGCTGCGCCAATGGGTGTACAGAATGCCACGCAGCCGTTTGAAAGACCTTCGGTCACCCAGGTATTTGTATGCATCGTTTTCCAATTACTGATGCTTTCCGCGATCGCTATATCATCGGAGATCAGCCAATTTTGATATGGCGATTTGATCTTTTATCGCGTCGACTTGTCACTTCACACTGCCTAAATATGAACTACGCGACCATCGTTGTCGCCTGCAGCAACTAAAGCGTTGTGCTGCTTAACACGTGAATGAAAGACCTGTTCTCACCATGCATGAATGAAAAAGTCAGGAGGAGGCGTTGGTTCTTGCATCAGGGCGGATGGACGAACGAACGCTTCGCCCCACTCATCATCATTCACTCTGTGAATATGTTGTGATTTTTTTTCTTTATCTGCTTTTTTCTTTTACCTGAAGGTGGCCGAAAAGGTGAAGCACTTCTTCAGGACGTACTCCATCAACCGTCACAAGATGACCGTCATCACCCCGTCCTACCACGCCGAGTCGTACAGCCCGGACGACAACCGCTTTGATCTCCGACCGTTCCTCTACAACCCGCTGTGGTTGTGGCAGTTCACCCAGATCGATGCGCAGGTGAGTGCGGGCCCGTTTTCCTTGAAGCGCGCAAGAATGATCTGACGTACACTTTGTTTGCCGATTGGCTTCAAAAGCCTGTCGGTCCCTACGCATCACCTGTTGGGGATATATTTATTGGCACATTGTACACGCTTTCACTAGGATACCAGCAATTACTTATCGTCCAGCTGCATTTTCCTGCCTGAATGTCATCTAGAATGTCATCAAATATGACACATTATTTGAAAAAAAAAAAAAAAAACTGACAAGGGAACATGACGTACAGGATGCAACACTAAACATCAGCTCAGCATGTACTTTCAGAAATCATGTATTTCACAAGATGCACACGAAACTGCGCAACACGGGAATGACCACCCCAAAAAAGTCCCTCCCTAAGTGTCACTGATCTTTTTAACTCTTCACACACCTACGCAAACTGCTCATGCCACATCTATCCAAACAGTTCCATGCACAGATTCCTTTCAAGGTATATGCATTCTTTAAGCTTGTGCAAAAATTCACGTTCTTCCAATATCCGAATTAATATTGCAGTATCAGAATTCTGTTCGATCTGAATTTAAATTTTTAGAAATTTCAAAGCATTTTAAGTGAACGAATTAGTTATAGTAACAAACTTTTATTTTTTCGACTGCCTGTGTGACTAGTCGACGCTGTTCTTCCCCGTCGGGCCTTATTTGGTCGAGCCAAGTAGTGATGGAAAGGGAAGGGCAAAAACTGGATTGCTGAGCAGTTGGGCAGTAGAAAAGGCAGTGTGACAGGTCGGCAAACGCAGATGGGCAATTGGGACAGAAGGGCTCTGGTCTATATAGAGAAAAAGGCGAGTGGGGGTGATGGATGAACGAACTTTATGAAGGTCCAATAGGTCGTGCTAGTGTCCTAGCCCGAAGCGGGGTGCTCCCACGTTGGTACTCAAAAACCTAGCCTTTCAGCCGGTTTGCGGGCCATTGGACTGCCCATAATTGTCCCTCTAAAGTAGTACTGCGCAAAGCTGCATCCCATCGTTTTTCAGTATATTCCTTGTGGCTGGGTAACGTGGAGCAACGCCAGAGCATATGAGCAAGATCTATAGTGTTGTGGCATTTATCGCATGTAGCAGAAAAACAGAACTCTGGATAAGTCCTCAGGCAATTCATTTGTGTGTGCTGTAAATTGGGCCCCTAGCACAGTCATTGATTGATTAGGGGAAGGGTAGGGATACTTTTATGGTTGAGCTGGAGGTATACCTCCTTGATAGTATGATGCAAGGAGTTGATGATTCCACCACATGCCAGTGCCACAAAAGGATCTCATACAGGCTCCATTTTGGGTAAAGTGATATGTAGATGTAATATAACCTGGTAAACGAGTAAAGTAACAACCAGGCATCACATAACGTGAATCGCCGAATAAGTCGGTGGTTTAAGGCTTCCCACCCTCTACAAAAGACTCAGCCATAATTCTTTTTCATTATCAGCCAAGGCATCATCAAAGTGCACATGACACCTTACAGATGTTTAGCAGGTGCCTCGGTTTTCTGCAAAATAACGTTAATAGCATAGTGTGTGCTTTGCAACTGTGCTTGTAGTATAGAGCTTACAGCGGGCTCTAGAGAGGCAACTCCTTCAACTTTGACTGTGATTGTGCTACATGTGTGCAGGCCTGGCCTTTTTTTTCCGTTTTGGGCATTTTTATGTTTCACAAAACAGGTCAAACACCTGGACCTGCTCCAGGACAGCCTTTCGATGAGCACGAAGGGCACCAACATCATTTGGAAGAGCAGCGGCAGCGTCCACGAAAGCTTCAGCGAGAAACCCACTGACTCAAGGAGCGGCCAACAGAGGGCACCTGAAAACAAGATGGCCGACACGCCGTCGGGAGACCTAGGCATATTCGTGTCTGGTGGCGGCTACCGGCAACCGGCCCTCGAAGTCTGCAGCGCATCGACGAGTCTGCCAAAGTGCTTTGCAGAGCCGTTGGACTGTGGGGAGGTCAAGTCCAGGATATGGCTACTGTGATCTTTGTCAGACTCCGGTTCAAAGTGTTCAGCACCACTTATTTCTTTGTTGCACATGACTTCGTTTAGTCTGTGAGTTTTATGTGACTGGCAGAGAGCAGTGTCTCGAAAGAAAAGGGACCTAAAGTAATGTTCCATAAGCCTGAAACCTTCACCTCATTTGTCATGTTCTTCCAAGTGTGGGTGTTTTGTTACATACAGTGCTCCATAGAAGTTCATATAGTTCATATATGTGAATTGATGTAGGTGAATATTCTATTGTTTAGTTATCTGCAGCAAGACAGATGAAGAAATAAGACACATAAGTGTTCTATATATGTGCCTCCTGCTTCTCAGTATGCCTGCTGTCTTTGTATCAGTCACCCTGCACAAAACTAAAAGCATGGCCGGAGCAACTCGCTCAATTCGAAGTGAGGCTGCAAGATTTCTTTTGGTCTCTGCACTGTTGCATTAGAGCTAACCCTAAGCATTGAATGAGGGCTGACGTCTGCTCTGGTGTTTTGGGAATCCAAATTTTGGGCATCTACGTTTCCCTTTTGCTGTGCCAGCAAAGTGTACGGCGTGGCTCGAGTTCTGTGCATGGACCATGCTACAGGAGATTGTGATTTTCTTCAGAACTTGCTAATCTGGACATAGTCACAAGAAAAATGTGAACCCACCTTGAATAGACTGGGTCAAAGCAAATTGTCTAGTTGTCAGCGAAGAACAAAACAAAAACCATAAAAAGAAGCCTGCTGTGGGATTCACAGCAAGAAGACATCACCACGGGCGTCTGAAGATAGCCGTCGATTGGGTTTCACGAAGAAGATAAACGAAGTGCGCCAGAGTAGGGTTATTACTACACTGTTCACCAGAAGCAGTGAGTACGTGGCTGATGCATGTGTTCCTGTAGCCATAAAACATGCGTGCCTGGTAACTTAAGTGTGTCATTAAGATTCGCTCCTGTGGCAAGTTGTTGCCTTGCATATGTTTTTTTTTTTGCTCCTGCACATTGAATCATCTTAGTCATGATTTAGTATTGCCAGCACCCTCATATTGCCATCAATGTAAGTTTTTATTTGAAAAACTGCAATCTTGAATTGTGTCCTATGACCTCATCTTTTTTTTCTTTATTTCTGAGCATGCTGATGGCCTTGCATTGCACAAAGCTTTTTTTGTTGTTGTTCTTTCGGTTGTGCGAGAACTCGCACTGTGATGGGAAGCAGATGTGGGATTGATACGGCAATCAGGGCATAGTGGCCAGACGGTTTGGGCCTCTATCTAAGGGGTGATATAACGTGTAGAGAAAATGCGAGTTCTAAATATAAATGCAACAATTGGCATCAGTCGCACTGTATCATCCATCCTGTGCTACCGCCTTCATGTTTAACAGCCTGTTTGCATCATTTCACATCCTTTCGAATGTTTTTGAGAAGTGATAGCTTTATTTGTAATTATGTAAAGTCCAAGGCACTTCAGTATTACCTCGCATATAAGCCACACTCCGAATAACAAACCACCGAAAAAAGTGAAGAAAATCTCCGCATGTTGCCATAAAGCCACGTTCTTTGCCATAACGATGAGTAGTGCTGTGAAGCCGCATCGCACATTGACATTGATGCGCCCCAACATTATCTCTGAATTTTCTGTATATCTCGTACATGTTTTACCCGAGAAAATGTGGTATGACATGCAGTGTTTCGAGCTATTTCGATTTGACAGCCAGCAGAATGAAATTACTGCTGTTTGTCTTTTCCCAAAGACAAAACCAAGTAGTGGGTTTCAGTTGCAAGAAATCACTCAAGAAAAAGGGAACGAAAGCAGGCAAGGCCATATGTGCATTATATCGTGATCTGGCATCCCAGGAATAATTTCATTGTAAGAGCATTTTTTTTTTCTCTAGCAAATCCTGTCTCTTCTACTTGTAGTGGTTGTATTGAAGAGCAGTGCCTATCAGTTCTCATTTTTAGACATTCATTTATTAATTAGCGGTGCCTTCTGTATCATCTCATTTATTTGTGCCGGCTGTAGCACTGATTTTGTTCACATGAGCTTACGATCTGATCTGTGCTTTTTCTGAATGGACGGCCATATCACTTATTTTTGAGCTGTGGCATAAAGAATCCGCAAGACGAGAGGCGATGCTTTTAGGATAGTCATCATTTATTGGTGCAGTTTATTTTCACTGCAACCTTAGTAAAACTCTGGTGATAAGTTTCTCATAATTCACAACGAAGGATGCAAAAGGGGTCATCTTGCTCCACTAGAGTGAAGCTGAGAAATGATAACGAAATTAGTCATCATTTATTGGTGCAGTTTATTTTCACTGCAATCTTGGTAAAACTCAGGTGATAAGTTTCTCAGAATTCACAACGAAGGATGCAAAAAGGGTCATCTTGCTCCACTAGAGTGAAGCTGAGAAATGACAATGAATTAAGGCAGAACAAACATTGCACTAGTTGCAAGCAACAAAAAAAGTGGTTTGTCGTGTTGAACTACTAGCATCCTCACATTGGGACTTGGTCTAGTACTGGGCAGGGGTTCCTCACTACATGCACGCATGAGAGCCGAAATTACCTGCTTCACATGGGCACCGTACTCGGGGATTGAAATGGGACAATTTAGGGCTAAGTAATGCGCACTCGTTTTTTTCCACCATTTTCAGTTCGTGTCTTATCGGCGTAACTTCGATCCCAACGCATAGACCAGAGGGAGTATTATCTCTGGAAACCAGATTCGTTCCGATGTGACGTGGTTATCTGAGCAATTGCATGCGCATGCTAGTTGTTCTCAAACCTCGATATAATGAACCCAGATATAATGAAATACTGGTTATAACGAAGTAAATGAAGGATGGCCTTGCAATAGATGCAGTGTTAGAAATATACCCTTATAACAAATGTTTGGATATAACGAACTTATCTTTGTGTAAGATGAAATTTTGCTATAATGAAGTTTGAGTGTGCTAAAAAAAAATTATGTAGCGTTTGAATCCATGAGTACTGTGCATTCCTGTTTGTTGTCCCCTCGGTCTGTTTCATGCATGCTCGTACAGTTCTTAAGGAAGCAAGCTTTTTCGCACCATTGGTCTGCTTCACCATGTGGTACCGGCGTTGGAGCCGTTGCACCGTCTTTCATTATAGCTGTGTATTATTCCTCGTATTTGTGTAGACAGGGGAAATACTGCACCCAGGCCTTTCACTAAGTGAAGAACTTTATCTGTGGATAATGTTGGTAGCACCAGTAAATCGGCTATTATTAGAGAGGGTCATGTGTATTTTTACCCTTCAGTGACTCGGGTAACAGCTGTAGTTTTAGGTGTCCTTTTAAAACTTCTCCCTACGGGGTGCATTTAGGTTGTTGCAACAAAACAGTAAGACTCTTGGCACTAACTTATTTCGTTGTCAGGTTTATGCTTCCTGCCTCCTTTGGCCTTACAGGTGCGAGTGTATACTGATAGACAACTGACGTAAACTGCCTATCGACTGGGTTCGTTTTCATGAGAAAGTCTGTTTTTTTCAAAGTGGTGAAATGACTGAGCGACCACAGTGCTTCAGTGCAAGTGTTGTGCCAGTGAAAGCAAGGTAGCCGCACGCATTTGCAATGTTTTCAGTTGGCCAAACACAATGAGGCATTAGTTTTAAGAAGATGGATGACAGTGTGTAAACAGGCCAGGTTTTAACTCATCATGTCTGGCTCCTTCAAGTTTAGGTTATAGAAGTGTTCTCTCTATCTAGCATCACCACCAACTTGCTTGCTTCATTTCTATTGAGTTGAAAGTAAGAAGGGCAAAGTTACTTCCTTGGCGATGGCGGAGTATGAGGAACGCCGAAAGTAATGTGTCCCAACATTCTAAACTCTGAAGCTGCAATATTTCTTCTACAGTCTTGGCTCACGGCCTAACTGTAGGTTCAGTTACTTCTTAAGTTTGAATACAACTGCTTCTCGTGACAGTTCGCGCATACTACTATAATTTATTTTAGAATCACCTTCGCAGTAAATCCTGATGTGATTTTACTAGGGGTCAGGGTTTGCCTTAGTTGTACTCAGGCCACCAAACCATTACAAGCTTTTTTTTTTTTTTTTTTTTTTTCAGGCAATGAAAGTCATTCAACAGTACCTGGTATAGAAAGTTATTCTGAAGCAGAGGCATCACGTGACTCGATATGACTCAGAGATGCGTTATTTTTTACATTTTATACATTTTACAACACTTTGTGCTACTTTTGCCCTCCGGTATTTCTATCTTGACAAGTTGCAAGTTGCATTATGTTGCACGTTGCATTAATGTTACACCATCACACCATAGTTCTGAATATTTCCTGTGTTATGAGCCAGTTTGCACATAGCTACTACTTGTGTCATGATATTTGAAAGTTTCTGGGGCTATATTACAATATACTTGACTGGGACTTGTCGATGCTCTTTCATTAACAATGTGGACTGGCCCTATGCACACACCACATTAGATTGCACATTTATCGTCCATGTTTCCTTGTCTGGTTTTCACTTACTATATGAACAAAGCACACTTTAACAGTATACAGTATCTTGAACACATCATAGTTTGCAACTTAAGGCATGAGAACTTATTTTACACTGAACTGCATAGCGTAGTGTGTGTCCTTTTCGATCGAAGACATCCACGAAAAATTTTCAGTATGTGTTTGTCATTTTCAGCACGTTTCCATCACTGAATTTCTTTTGAGAACTGCTTACCGATTTCGTCAACTTTCAGGTGGGCCACGAGAGTGGCCCACAGGCACGCAACTTTGTGAGGTTAGGTGTAGATGTAATGTGCTATTTGTCATTTGTGCTAAACTGGATCATTGGCAGCAAAGCCAATGTTGCAGCCAATGTTGCAGCACCAGTGTTGCATACATCAGGCCTTTTCAAACAGCAGCTTAGGAAGTTGCGAAAAATTGACCTATGCCACCAGACTACATTTTCAAACAGCAGCTTAGGAAGTTGCGAAAAATTGACCTATGCCACCAGACTACATTGTGTTGTCGTCTACCCCTGTACTTTGTTTTGCTTACAGAGAATTTAGGCATTCATGGTCACACTTTAATTGAAAATTAATTTTATACAATTCGACATGACGAACAGAGACCAGTGACCATGGCATGATCAGTGACATGTACTTAAATTCGGAATGCTGACGATAATTTATAAAGAAAGTTGATAAAGCCTCGTGGATGTGGTCCTTTTATATTGTCACGTGGTGAGAGTATCACTCTCACTTGTATCAATATGGCAACATCGACATGTGTCCCGCTGCTTTTTACGAGAACGAAACATTCACACAGCACAGAGTATTCTGGGATCGATCTTCATTAGGTCTTGAAGCTTCTGGAAAAGTAAATAAAATGAATTTTAAACAGTTCTGAGGAAACTAGTTTTTGTAAAAATTTTATTTGTTTACTGATAGAACGAGCTGCTGCGAGTGAGTTATTTAACGAAAGTGAAGAGTAAAAAAAAAACATAATGCCCTTTCTATTTTTGCACCAACCTTGCACGTCACTACTCTGTGAAGCGACTGCGACACTAAGGGTCTTTTTTTATTCTTGTTTATTGTGGCTGAAGCTGAATAAAGCCATTTTCTTGTTGAAAGTAATGTCTTCATGCTTTATGTATGTATGTATGTATGTATCTGTTTGTGTGCATGTGTATTAGTAAATTTGCGTCTTGGTACATAATGGGTCACACACACAGGCATCAGCAGGGGGTGCAAAAGGGGAAATTGCCCCCCTCAAACCACATCAGCACTTTCCCTCTCACCCAAGCCACACCAGCGATGTTCCTACCTCCAAGCCACAATTCAACATCGGTTTACACCCCCACCAAGACAAAATCATGCCGACGCCCATGGTCACACATAGGCCAAAGAGGCTTAAATGGAACTTCCCTAAATGGGGATTATTCGAGACATACTTGGCACATCACTTGTTTGGCTTGTTGTGGCCGTTTTGTGCAAAGGTTGTGTGTTGCGGTGTGTATTGTATCGAAGCCAATGTCTTTGATGGGGTAAACACATGCAGGCATCGCTCTTCTCGCAACGTGTACAATACAGCCACTAGCCAAACGTACCTACAGTCATGCTCAATACGAGCTGCAACTTGCTATCTGTAGTTAAGTGAGCCCAAAACTGAACAATGATAACTATAAACAATAAATTGGCTCATAAAGTACCTCTTACTGAGGGAGTTTGATTTGCCTTTTTTTTGATGTAGGGGCCCATTTATAATGTTGGTGCCATTCTGAGCCCACACAGCACATTGCATATCACAATAAATGCGACTGCACATGTGTAATGTATGTGTGTAACTAGGTTAGCAGTTGGGGCTTGTTGGTTTGGCATGATATAGAGTGAAAGTGCATAAGACAAGGACAGAGAAGAGGCTTCACTATTTTTGACTTGAGCTATATACATGATTGCTTGCCTCCAAGTAAAATACTGTTTCAAGGTTTTAAGTCGACGCTTGTGTGTATCAAGCCGCTTCTCTTTTCTCGTCCTATGCACTTTCAATCTGCATTATGTGTAAAAACATAATGCAGTTTATGTTTAATCTGCATTACAGTAAGCCCTTTGTTTATTATCGGAGGGCTTTACAGAGTCTTTCGATACTCTTACTAACCGTGAAGCTACGCCGTAACTCTATGGGAGAGCTTTATGCACTCCAAGCAGAGGCCGCGGGTGGTCAGCGCTGCGTCCCCGCAGGTAGCTCCCCCACAAACGATGAAACAGGTTCTGATTGAATGCGGGGACATCCACCCTGGTATACGTGTGGGTACAAGCCTACATGAGGCTTTGAGATTTAGAGAAAAGAATGGAAAACTGAACATGTCCGCAATCGAAGCAGGTAAGAGACAGAGCATTGGTGGCAGAAAAGTAGATATTAAGGACAGAAATAGCAGGAAAATGAAATCAATCTGCCTGAAGAGGCAGAGAGATGGAACATAAATGTACATTTTTCTGTGTTATAATAATATCCATTTATTTGAAGTAGATCAGGCATATTAGCGACCAAACCAAAAAAAAGTTTCATTTTTTTTTTCTTTCTTGCAAGCTTGGTGGCACACGTCACCACCCCGTTATAAAGGGGACGCTCATGCATCCATCCATCCATAACAAAGTTCCTGGACTTTTTTTTTTTTAAGTACTGTCGTTCTTTTAACCAATCGAGCCGCCGCTCCGCGTTTCCTCCTCTTCCATCTCGGGCGGTAACATCGCGCCTGCACGACATTGCAAGATCCGGCGGCCGCACGGCGCTGTTCGGGAGAGGATATGGGACGTTGAGAGAGGAGGCTCGGCCTGTGGAGTGAGGATATAGAGGAGGAAAGCGCCGAAGTGGAGGAGAGTGTCGCATTAGTTGGGGGCATCGGGCAAACGGCAGCCGCATATCATCGTGGCATATGTCACCTAGCGCAGTTTTCACCGGATGCCTGATGCTGTGCCCGGTGTGTTAACTTGTGCCTGAATGTCGGAAAGGATGCCGAGTGCTTGGGTGTCGATACGCTTACAAGGCAAATGAAGAGGAAAAGTGTCTATGTTCTGGCTGCCTAGACTCGATGAACGGCGCGGGAAAAGTGGAAACAAGTAGTTTTCACATTTGATGTTCTACAAGTGCTTGTGTGCGAAAAGCACTTTCTTTCGCGTGGGCCAGTGGCCATAATCGGAGGAGTTGTGCAGGCGCCGCGCGACGTTCCCAAACTTTTGCTCCCGGCGTATGTGCAAAACGTTCGAGAGCTTGCCCGCCCACCAAAAGCCTGGCACTGCGCCGTGCTCCCGTCCGAGTTGCAGAAATTAGGTGCCTTTTCTCATCTTCTAACCACTACCACCACCACCACCAAAAGCGTCACCGGGAGACCGTCGAGGTCGCACCGACACTGTGCACGAGCCCCTTGGACACGGCTGTCGTGGATAATGATGCAGTTAATGAAGGTGAGCTTACTGACCGCTTCTTTACACGAAATTAAGTTCGTTATATCCAAAAGTTCACTATAAAGATGTATTCATAACTATTTCAAAACACAATTTCGTTTACTTCATTATAACAAAGGTTTCGTTATATCTGGGCTCGCTAGATCGAGGTTCGAGTATATAAATGATCAATGTCGACATCACATGTCTCTTTAGCGTCCCTTTTAAGCTGATGAACTCTACACCTGTGATGAGTAAGGCGTTAATGCTAGGGGACAAGTGAGCTCATTATTGCACTACGGGAAGCCTGTTCTATTTCCGCTGTGGATTGACCCTACATTACACCACCTGCCCACATTTTCACTGGCCACAGACAGACTGATGAATTAAATTCAGGGCCAACTCTCCAAATAACGCCACACACTAAAAATACTCTTTCATAGTCTGGGTCGGTCTTTTGATTGAGCATCGTCTTTCTACCTTTATATGCTGCATTACATGCAAACAAAGATTAGTGCAAGGGCAAACGCCATTACCAACACTTGCTTGTACAAGCATGATCTTGTTTTAGCCCAACTACACTGAGATGAAATATCTTACCAGCATTTGCCGAGCCTCCAACTTCCTCAAAGGTGTCTACACAGGAGACTTGTATGGCAAAGCAAACACACCTTCAAAAAATGGCTTCTGTGCCCATTCAAGGAAAATGCACAGACAGTAATTCCAGACATCCTTGAGGTGTTCTACTAAAAACTATGGACTATCTCCCCGAACGAAATCCTGATGAGATGCAAAGCAGCAGCGGTGTGCACGGTATTGAACCGGTTGAAACGGGCATCGACGCAGGTGCTGGAAGAACATCTTGAAGCGAAACTCGGTGTAGCGTTTACTCGAGTAAACATTTGTTTGAAATGCAAAGACACAGGAGGCGGGTCACATTAAATATGCTTGCGCTCGGCTTCCTTGGCTTGTATCTTGTCAGTGTTCCCGCGCGCCGTCTGTATTCTCGAACGCAGTCGGCGTTCTTGACTCGCGCCTCATCGGTGTCGTTGGTCTTTCACTATCAACGCTTGCGTCTAGCTTCCCTGGCTTGCGCCTCGTCTTTTTTGACGTCGTCATTCGCGATCGCCTACGCTAACCCTCGCAACACCGGCGACAGTCAAGAAAGGTACACGCACACTAGCGGGAAGCATGCCGCGATAGCGTCCCGCCCGTCGTTGCAACGCGCTGGCGACATTGTCGGCGCCGCGAGAGAGATTTCTGAGGCGTGCGCACACGCCGGCTCGCAGCTTCTCGCCGACAGATGGAGAGATATGGCATGGGTGAGATGATGCCCAGGTGAGGAGCGGGCTCGAGCAGTGGAGAGGGTGAAGCGAGAGAGCTAACACACGGCGCGCAGCAGGCGAGAGAGACGTCATCGCACACTGCTAGAAGGGCGTGACCTACTTGACACCACTCTAACACCTGCAGCAAGGGGAGTAGTGCAGATGGAGGGACAGCGTTACATAGGCTAGTCAGAGAGCTGCTTCGCATCTAAAAAACTCCAATTAGTGGTCTCATTTGACACACTTGGCGACTTTCCTGCCAACACAACACTAATGATCGAGGAACAGAAAAAATGCAGAAGCTGCTGGCATGGGGCTTGTTTTTAATTATGCAGTCGTTGGAACGGTGAACATGGGTGTACAAAAAGATGTAGCATAAAACAAACTTCAACCGAGTTTTAACATAAAAACCAGGTTCTGGATGAGGAGTCGAGCAGTTCTTTTGGCATTATGTTTTTACACTACATACAACAGATTCTATGTACACAAGAAAGCATTTTTTTCTCAACCCACACTTTAAGCAGTGCAGTCACATCATCAAAAACAAAATGCAGACTATCGACAAGAGAGATCAGTGTGCTATCTACACCCACGATCGCAAATTTTTATTTCACTTGCCGAGGGAGACATTCAAACATGGCAAGCAAGCATTACCGCAAAACATTGCCTTTCAAGCAATGCGACTTGCCAACCTACGACTCCTCATATATAACACACATGGCATGTTAAGAATGTTGCAGAGAAGCTCGTAATGTTTTTGTTTTGAATGTGTCCCTCACACTCTACCTGTATGCAGACTTCCGTGTGGTTTGCTCTGCTGCCCAACACAAGTGCACCTGAACATTACATAATCCTGCACATAACCTACGTACAAAAACAGTTTTTATTAATGCTGTTTCATGCCACTACAGAGTGCCTGTGGTGCTTCACAGGTTGAAGGCGATCACTGCCACCACTCGAGAGAAAAGTAATTTAATTTGAGCCAATTAGAACAGCCTTAATGGCACACTTTAAAATTACCCGAGGTTATTCACCTACGACACAACTAGGTTTCTTTTGGGAAAGTTTACTGCGTGATTCACTTTTATATTGGGAAAAGCTGTACCATACGCCTCGAAAGTCAATAACTTTCGCTATTGGTTGGCTGTCATTAGTATTAAACTCCAGAAAAAAAAATCCATCAGTGAAAGAGAGCTCAACAAAACAAAGTAGCTAAAAGCAATAAACCTGTTTTCATTAATCAATAGAACAAAAAGACTTAATTTCTTAACAAGGCACAAAACGCAATGTTTAAAAAAAATATCTTGACATCACAGTTTTGTGCAGAAAGGTGTTCCTTTTTTTTTTTACTGGTGACGACACGAGGCACAGTTTTCTTTAAGTTCACAATGCACCACTTTCATTATACATCTCCACTGCAACAGTCTTTTTTTATGTGTAACATTACAATCACGAGAGGAAGCTTCTTGGAACACATGAAACACCTTCGCTCTTGCCAAGGCTCTCTCGTGTCACGACTTTTTTTTGGCAAATGAACACATTTTACATAATGTAAAAACAAGGAGTCTCTTGCAAAAACAAAAGATTCAATGGAACACACTGAGACAACTAGGACGCGGTGACGGATGGCGGGATCACTCGTTCTTTTTCAGTTCCTCGGGCTTTTCGGACGTGGAGTCGTCTCCCGCTTCCGCCGTTGGAAGCGCTCCATTGGGCTGCTCCGCAGCGGCTGCCATCTCCGGCGTGGCGTCGTCCACCGCACTTGTCCCGAACTCGTTGACTCTCGTCGGATCCACGCGGTAGATCCAGCGTTGGTACAGGAATATTAGGAACACAATGTCTGGAAAAAGATTTTTAAAATATTTGAAGGATGCCTGTACTTTGCTTTCTAGAGTAGAACACGATTTAATCTAGCCCTATTTGCATTCCTCCGGGCAATACCTCAACCCTACAGCAAACAAAGGAACATCTGTGAGCACAGCATTGGCCATTCGAAACTACACTTGAACCTCATTATAACAAAGCCACATCAGCCATAAATTTACATTGTTATCTCCAAGAATTTGTTATAAACATGTATTGTGAACACTGTACTTATGACATAGCTACTCTTCACTAACAAGGTCATAACCAATAACTTAGTATACAGTAGACTTGTGATAATTTGAACTCTGATAATTCATACTTTTGGTTAATTCAAACAAAACTCAATTTTTATGGTTGGTTCTCTATTCTTTCAATGTATTTTTATTAAAAGCCTCTTAATTCAAACTTCATCATTTGGTTAATTCATACTTTTTGTGGTTCGGGTGCTTATATAATCCTAACAGTGTAAAAATGAAAAATGAGCATGTCAGGCCTTCAAGAAAAAAGGTTTGCTAGTAAATCACGCATGGTAAATCATGATGCTGTTCAACTGATATATAAAGCTTTGTGCTGAAGGCACATATAGCAAAGAAGCAGTTGGAAATTCACAATATTTTAAGAGGCCTGATCAGGAGTAAAGGGCCGACAAAATTGTGGACCTTACACATCCGCTTTCTGTTCATGTTGTAATGTGTGGTGTCACCTTACCCCAAGGTCGTATATCTGAGAAATTCTAATAATTCAAACTTTTTGGTAATTCAAACAAAATTCAGATGTCCCTTTGGGTTTGAATTAATGAGAGTCGACTTAGGTTCGTTATATCGAGGTTGGAGGGTATCCTAGAATACCTTCTGCAATGGCAGTTGCGAAGTGTTCACTTTGCCACAGTTCATTCTTGTGCGAATTGGCGAAGTGCCCGCTGTGTGTCCATAAGGCAACACGTGCAAGTGCACACTTCGTTGATGCCGATGCTGTTGCTGCTAACGAATATGACCGAATGCATTGTATTGGGTTGGCCTTTGAACCACCTGCTCGTTGTACAATAAGTGTGTTTCAATACATGGTGCAAATCTATGCTTCTGCTATGCATCATTATTTAAGGAGACTCCTCGCGCTACATGATATTAATAATTTTTTTCTCTTGAAGCAGTTTCAAGCAGTGGTATGGCTCTGAGGTAGAACACCTGCTTGCCACACATAAGACATGCATTATATTACTAATCAAGCTAAAGATTTATTAGTTACCTATCTGCATCTATAATGATTTTTTTTTTTTCACTTGCTACCAACAATGCCTATGGCGGAATTTTCGTGAAACGAGATTTTCAACTCTGTCGCATTAAAAGGTGGCCCTCCACGATAGAGCCCCGGCTATCGCAATGCGATCCAATCACGACATGCACTGCCTGGCGAGTACGACATTTCTCAGCCATTAGCGCACGCAAAACTCATAATTGTTTAGAAAAGTGCACTGTAACACAAATTAGGCCCAAGCTCTGAATTGGTCATTTAATTTCCATTCCAATGCATATGCCAAGTGCAGACTAAAGTTGCCATTACCAAGCCGCATTTTTGATGAAGATACCTATCAATGTAGCTTATAGTGCAAAAAAAAAACATGAGAGACGGACAAGCGATTCTTCATCTCTCGTGTTTTCGTTTTTTTCCGCCGCACCATAAACTATGTTAAGAATGAACCAGCTCGTCCAACAACTCACTTTGCTGAAGATACCTTTGTTACATTGACAGCCATTATAAGCACGCATTCACTAACACTCAACATTGCGGCCAACTTTATGTAGAGTTCATTATAATGAATAGGTTACATCAAAATATCAGTGTTTGATACATAGAGAATGATCATGTTCAGCAACAAGTTCTTTCGTTGCTATACAATTTGCTGCATTTAGTTAATAAGTCCTGGAGAGAATAAGATACCAAAATGTCTGTACAAAGCAGCAAACAATTTTTCTTAAAGAATATTTTTAGGAGACAGCTCTTTATTGCATCTTCTTTTTAATAGCATATCCCACGTTCAAGCAATATATGTGTGGAAGTCTTTGTTGTCGGTTCGCTCGAGTCACAAATCCCGGTATTCGGCACCATAAAATGTAGAATAAAGGAAGCCTCCTCGCTGGAAGGATGGAAAACAGGGCGACTTTATTGCCCAAAGCACCTTTGCATAAACGCGTCCCTTCTCGGCTGATCCAGTTCAGTCCAGTCCCACACTGCACGCTCGTCCATTATCGTCTTTCTCTTTTTCTAATATTCAACAACATGAACACAATACTCTTGTTTAGGATTTCTTCCCATGCCTACTGTGCAAAGTATTGTCGTATCTCTACACAGTGTTCACACAATTATAGTTTCACTTGCGCAGAAATCACGAACAAATAAATCGTAAGCAGTCGTCAAAACTCACCGTCTCTGAAGCAGCCGAGCCGATACATGGTGGGCATCTTGATGACGAAGGCGAATATGTCGTCGATGAAAGTGTTGAGAAACTTGTACGTCAGCATGCGCCACGGCAAGTGGGCCACTGACTTGAGTTTGTAGTTGATGAACAACTGTGGTGTCATCATAATGAAGCCTGCACAAAAAGAAACAAAGTATGCTCAAACCTCTTTACAAGAAAGTTGTATCTAACACAAAATTAAGTCCGTTATATCCGATAAATTCGTTACAAAGGTTCATTCCTAATCCATAGTTATTGCAAGACTATTGTTCATTTACTTCGTTATTACCGATATTTCTATATATTTGGGTTCGTTATATCGAGCTCCGAGTGTAGTTGAGCACTACTATAAAGGCCATAGCGTGAGTAGAACGGTCGGTGACCCTGCCCTTAGCGGACGACATTGCCAAATATATGAGCAGACTTTTTTAGTCACAGGCATGACTGGCTGTCACGTGATCAGCTGTGTGGGGCCTCTCTGGACTTTCGGTGTATCCTACCATAGGCAGCAGAAAAGCATGTACATTGAATCACGCCATTCACACTCACCAAATGTAAGCAGGAAGCCATACATGACACCGAGCACCCAGGAGTACCAGCTCTTGTGCTCGAGGTACATGAGCGAGTAGACGCAGTAGGCCGCCAACAGGGGAAACAGCGCCCAAGACAGGTACTTGAACGCCATCTGCAGAATGCAAATCATGGGTTAATGCAAGCAGTATCTGCAGACGAATTGAGGACTGAGTTTGTTAATGCGTTATTGGCGAGTTGGGAAATATAACATAGACTAGCGACAAGTTTTGGTAGAGTGAGCCCACAAGCTGGGTGAAGACATACAAAAGGTTAAAATCTGTACAATGCAACACCTTACAGTTTTGTCACCTGGACCTAGATATTATATTACAGCAGCTGTGGCTATCACATTACTATAATCAGTTTTCAATTGTCACCTCACACATACTGCATGCTAGTACAAAAACTTTTGCGGCACATCGTGAGGAACATTTAGTTTAATACACAGGAGTGCAAATGTCCAAGCCAAGACAATTCATTAGCAACTGTCACATTTTCTACGCATAATTATGGCTATGGACGCCGGAATCGCAGAACAATCTTGGAAATGTACGCGCTGAACCCGATAACTAACACTACAGGCAGGTTTGACTCTTCGCAGAAAGATGTAAAGCACCATTACAGGAAATGTTCCACAGTGAAAACCTTCAAATACGGTTTTGTAACGGCAGAAACATTCGTAGCTTCGAAGTTAGAAAATGCTGCGACTGTGACAAGACTGACCATGTCGTATTCCCGTGTTGACGATTCTACGTAGGTGCACTTGTCGGCCATGCGAATCCGAGGGAACACTCCAAAAAGCTTGTTTTCTCTGTCCACAGTAATGTTCACCACCTGCAAATAATTGTCCACCAATTGTAACACCACGACCAAGCAGAGGGAAAGAAAAAGAAGAAATAGCAAGACAACAAGAATGAAAAACCCAACCTGAACGGAATAATAAAAGCACAATAGATATAAAACTTCTGGAGTGGACAGGGTCTGTATATGTCAAGTATTATTCCAAGTTTGGTTAGAAATAAGGCAAACTTCGAGTTGCGTCAAATTGCAATAACATGAAAAAAAATTTACTCAAGTGCTTCATAAACAGGCAAACCAAGTTATTACAAATACGGATATAATGGGTTATTGGCCATAATCAAGTAAACCAACAATAGTCCAGACATTAATGTAGTGTGATAAACATATACACTTATTACGAATTTTTCTGAGTAATGAATCCATTCCCTGTTCAACGTAACTTTGCTGTAGTGATGTTTCACTGTCGTACTGTTTTTTCTTGGATATAAACACATCCCCGAGTGTAAAATGTGCCCCCAACAGCCCACAGAAAAATTGTAAAGAATCCGCTCATATTACTCCCTTATTTCAACCACGCAAGTTAATTTTACGCTTTTATAGAAATGCTGCAATATTGAAAAAAAAATTTTCTTTTTGGGATCTCAAGCATGCATCAAGAAGTTAGCTATGTGGCACTTTTAAAATGAGCATAACATTACCAGGCAGATGGATGTAGTACTCAGGAAACATACGTAGAAATGCACATTCACATATCTAGAAAACATGCAACTGGCTGTTCACAGTTGCGTGACGACGCCACCACTTGTGCGAAGCGGGTGCTGAAATTTTTTAGGTTTGAAGCAAGTGACACAAAGTGGATCGATGTTAAATGCATTATCATTTTCCTTGGATTGCCAGAATGCATTGCCAGGAAGCTACTTTGCACACCCAAATTCACGAATAAAGCTGTTGCTCTGTCGGTGAATATGGCTTAACCAGCACCCAGACTTTCGCTCCCAATTTTCTTTTTATCTGCGAGTGTGCGTGCGTGTTAGAGTTGAGAAGATATGGTTAGCTAGTGGCTTATTGGATTAAATCAAAAATGAGCGATCCGTTTGTGGACACGCAAGGGCAAGCCATGAGATCGATTCGTAAAGAGGGTCGGACATGCAGACGAGGTCAGGTAGTACACACCTTGTGGATTTTCCAGATGTCGATGAGCAGGCCGACAAACACCGAGAGCCGCACCAGGGTGTTGGTGTCGTTGTCCAGGATGTAGAGGAGCACCACAGCGGACTGGAACACATTGAAGAACACCGAACGCACCGACAGACCTTCCAGGCTCTTGCGGTTGCGCCAGAACTGGATGTCTGTGGCAAAGGAACGGGAGAGAAAGCCGACAAAATTTGACATAAGAATTCACCGATATCTGCATGAAACGCGAGCCAGATGCACAGGAGCGCCAACTCTGCCGTTTCGTAACGCATTCACTCGAGACAAACTGTAAAATTAAAACACAGGGTGTGGCTCATTCCTTCGCTCTCTCCCTCAGCTTCAGACTATCACATGCGCTTTCTCCTTCCCTTGCAATTCCTGCCAACTACTTACTTGATGTCGTCAAACCTCGACATAATGAACCCGGATATAATAAAGTATCGGTTATAACAAGTTTCAGAGAAGGATAGCTTTGTCATAGATACAGTGTTATACATGCTTATAATGAATATTCAGATATGACAAAGTATTTTCGTGGCAGATGTGACCATTATAATGAGGTTCGAGTGTAGTAGCATTTGCCGAGGCACAAGGAAACCATTACATCTGCTTTCATGTGCACATGCACCAAATTCCTAAGGCCAGCGGTGTTAGCAGGGTGGAGTAGATGGGAAAATAAACGGGCAAGCAAACACACCGACATGGAGCAGCGCGACCGTGCATCGTCGTTGTAGCAATGACAGACAGAGGCCCGAGCTTGGTCCCTATGGTTAAGGTAGGCCCCTATGTTAAGCTAGGTCCCTATGGCTCTTTTGGCTAATTAGAGGAACAACTCTCCGCAGCTCTTCGTCAATCGCAGCACCAATTGGTGAACACTCCATCAAGCAGGAACAGATGGTCCAGAATGTGTCCCTTCCAGACGAGTGGAGTTTTCACTCCTCTCTTATCTTACTTAGTGTGCTTAGAGGCGCCTTGCACTGTGAATTGAGTCAGCCAAACAAGATATTTAGAAGCCCACAAAGTGCAGCAATGTACAGGCGCTGAAATGTTGGAAGGGGACGACAAAGCGACTGGTACACATATAACGACAGGTACGCGCGAGTACTCGAGAAAACTGCAGCAATACGGCTATTTGGCCTAGTCATGTTTAAGAAGCTCGAAGCAGAGAACGACTAGTTGCAGCAGCCGCGAGCGATGTAGCAACCGATGCTTTGCCGGTATGTACTTTGCGATGATCTGGAGGTCACTTTCGTCTCTACAGATCTGTTGTGGCGTCATTACAACTTTCGCTGCCCTTCCTATAGAGCTACGCCAAAGGTGCATGCTCTAGTAATGGGTTTCGATCGAAAGTAGGAGCATTCAAGTACACCTTGGAAATAAATTGAAATATATTCTAAATGTTTGCTGTGTTGGACCATTCGCGTGGAGTGTCCTTGCGTATAGAGAAAATCCCTTTCAATGAAACATGAAACATGAAGGGTTTAAGGAAATGTGTTCTGTTTAACAAAGGTGCCATTTGCTGCGAGATGAACACGGGTGTAGTATTCCACAACGAAACCACTCATGCTCAAGCTGGCAGTTCCAGTGAGGCAGCAAAAGTGTCGTTCAGAAGATCACCGCTTACCACTGGCAACAGGGAATTACGCGCTCAATGCCCAAAGCAATAAACTGCTCGCTCACCGCTCTTGAAGGCCAGGAACTCAAACACGCTGTGCAGCAGGGAGACGACGACCGTGACAGCCAGCAGGTAGGGAGACGTCTCGAGGAAGGCCTCCTTGAGGGAGTCTTTGTCCTCCTCGGACTCCTCCATCAGGTCCTGGCCAAAGAAGGAGAACGACCGCATGCCCTGCGCCACGTACAGCTGCCACCGGAACATGCTCAGCGGCTGGAAAGTCAGCTGAAGGTCAAGCCACCTGCGAACAGCAAAACCCGATGATACGTTGAAGCACGAAGTTACGACCAATATTCACTGTGTGATGCACACACTGCGGCATGACCATGCTTTCAGTTTATGGGCACAGTTAACCTTCATGCGACAAAATGTGATCACCGTTCGCACATGATGAGCCACTATGTCTTCAGCTATGAGTGCATAAATTGCTCTATAGAAACTGGGTTGAGAGTTGGCAACTAACATTTAAAACGTCAGCGTCTTCGAACAGGTATGTAATGATTTAACTTTTAAAGTATCCTTGCTTGCATAGTTATATCTAGCATAATAATGTTAACTGAATCGAAAATTTTTTACAAGCACACACGCAACTTCCCAGTTCAAGGTCAAGCCACCCGCAAACAAGGGGTAGCGAAACCTAACACATGACACCACAAATGTCTATACAATCATCGTTTTATCAGAGTCGAATCTTGACAAAAAGATTCATTATAAGAACACACCATTCCTCATTAAGTCTATGTAAAAGCAATGCGGGTGTGACTGCTCCAATGGGTTAAAACAGCTAATGACCTCGCATTTGGCTGTCGTAGCAACACAATTAGCATGTTTCTGTTTTTTGAAACTCCTGGGAGTTTCTTTGACCTTTACCTGTATGAAGTGTAAAAAAAAACTTTTCCAAACCTTGAAAACCAAACCTATTTTAAATTAAATTTCGAACTTTCATGCAATCATAACACATTTTAGATATCAGTGTTCCAAAGCCCTGGTACTCACTCTGTTGTTTCATTGATGGCCTGGTAGTCTCGGATAAGGTTCCAGTAGTCGTTGATGTACACAATGGGGTAGTACTTTCCTGTCGTTGGTTCAAACTCGACATCTGAAAGTACAAGAGGTTTTCGTCAAATCATATTTTATACCGTCTTCGCAGAAAGTATCGTGCTGCTGCAGTAGCATACAACTTCTGTTACTTCATTATTTTGCAGATTATCGACAGTAAAACAAATCGTTGTCATGCCTGGTAAAAAGGAATTCGGCTGCTTCCACTCTATGAATGTTACGCTTCCCATTTTAGTACCACTCAAGCGAATGTCACTCGTTAAGTCACTGAACTTCTACGCTGCCCCGCTGAGATTTTATTAACAATTCAGCAAGCTTTCTTGCGGATGCTACGCCACCTCTCCACTGGCATTATTGCATTTTTTGACAGTCGTGTACTTCTTATGTGGCTAATTATATTATACCCATAGTATTATTATACGTGTTTTTATGCAGCACTAACACTTATTTTAAAAGTGCCATAGATTTCTCGCATAGCCCTGCGTGGCGCACACATTGCGGTGTGACCCCACCGTCAGTTTAGGGGTGCCCCGTTTCATTGCAGCGCACACACTGCGGTGCGATGAAACGCGATCGCTGTATGCACAAACTAGTGGGCACAAGATGTGCCACTATGTCTTAAGCTGTCAGTGCGAACATTAGACTGTAGAGACTGGGTTGAGAGTTTGTGGCAACTAACATTTCAAATGTCCCTATGTTCAAACAGGTATGCAACGACAAAGTCTTATAGTATCTTTGCTTGCAAATGTAAGATGTTAGCTAAGTCTGGCCTCTGGCATTTCTAGAGAACAAAGCACAGATTCCTGGTAAACACGTCCCCAGTTTGCCAAAACTTGTCATTACACCACAATGAATCAACAGACGGGTCCGCTGTTAGAGGGAACACCAGCGTGCTAGGGATGCCCGGATTTCACACTCTTGCCAAAGTGCAGCGGCTTAGAACTGCATGGGACTGCTAAACAGCAAACTATATTAAGACTACCTACTGTACTGTAGTATTAGGCCCTACAACGCTTTCACGTCCAGTTCCAGTCGGGGGGCCAGCAGCACGAAAGGTGCTCCTTCAAGTGTTCCCTTTAACGATGGACCGTACTGTACACACCTACGGTGCAGACAGATTTCACTCACACTGGTCGACAGGCATCGGCACCTGACCCTGCGTCCATGGAGTGTGGTCGACTATGATGTTCACGGTCAGGTTTGGATGCCAGTGGGACAAAATTTCTTCTTTCATGGCCTCTGCTTTCTGCGCAGACCGGAATAAAAACATAAAGAAAGCAACACAGAGGGCTGGCAAGACACACGCAGCAGCAGAGCGGCAGCAAGGACGCTGATATGTCCGCACAATGCAAAGTAATGCTGATCATTTAATTACTGGGGTTGTAAAGCTATGAACAAATTTTTTTCATTACTATCCACTGTCTATGATTTACCCAAATTTCATTGAGTGACTGATGAGATGTGATCAGGGTAAACGATTCAATTGATAGATAAGATTTAATTAGCTAAGACACATAAGCACTAGAGAGCCTGAGTGCATATCAAAAGCAAGAGAATTAAATTTTACACCCCTGGATTCTACAACAATCGTTTCATTCTAAGCACAACAGCACGTTGAGCTTTTAGCTCTATGTTCTTTTGTGTCACGCTGAGTTATGCTAACCAATCCAAATGCTGATAAATAACTGTCATTCAGCAGAATAGCATAATCTATTACAAATGAGTTTGCGCTAACTTCAGTTTAGACTACCATTAAAAGCTTACAGTTCGTCATATTAATGCAATGCCGCCGTCTCTACATTTTAATCTTTTTTTTTTCTCTTTCTCTCTTCGGTAATCACGTCATCTAATAAAAGACTCTACTGAAACAGTGCGAGTTAGTACGCACCTCTACCATTTCTGGTGTAGCAGCCGTTTCGCCAGTGAGCAAGTTCTGGGTCCGCTTGTAGCGCAACTTCTTGTACTTGTTTAGCTCTACAAACAACAAGAGAAGGCAACAGGTCAGCAGTCTGATAAAAGAATGAAAGGCACTTCACAGTATGGTACATTCACTAGCATGTCAAACAATACTGACTCTCATCATATCCATCAGACATGATCTCGTCACGTGGTGACAGTGAAATATGGAAGCAGCCACACTTAACCATTAGCTAAGCACAGTGAAAACATGCTAAAAAAAAACAAAAACAAACTTTAGCCCAACGCCGGCAGCAAGTATAGTCATTGTCCAAAATGTTATCAGTGAAGTTAAGGATTGGCTATTTATATATAAAGTGGCACCATATGCTCCAGAGTAAGCAGCGCCGCTTGACTGTTGGGCAAGTTGGTGCTTCGACACAGAAACCATCGCGGGGGCGCAACTAAACACGACACACAAGAATTCTTCTTCTTTCTTAGGTAATCACACCATCTAATGAAAGCAATCAAACCTTGTGTGTCCTCGTCTGTTTCTTCTTGTGCGTTGTGTTTAGTTGTGCCCTCACAATGGTTTGCTATGTCAGTGCCACCACGTGCGCTCCAAAGCATATGCCACGATTTGCATAACGCATGCAATCTGATTATAGGAAAGATAGTATTTTTGAAAAATGGGCGACAGCATTTGAGAGGATTCATATGCATGACAGTAAATCTACAAGTGGACTCGACCACTCTTCGACTGGCGATCGTACTCAACTGGTCATTGCCACTCACTCGTTTCGAGAAGTGGACGATTCCGTTAGTTGAAACAGCCGTCATTTCGAAAGGAAAAACCACAACAGACTCGTAACGAAAGTGGGGATAAACAGCACACATTCTTCTTTGTTGCTTCCTAGCACATGTATTTTGAAGGACACACGCACTCATGCTTAACAATGACACAATTTACCTCGAAACAGTACACAAACAGTAGTAAGCTTGGCATTGAGAAGGTAAACGAATTTCATTGCTTTTTGCAATTTCACGTGCTTTGAAAGGACACTTCAGTGAAACAGCTACACTCAAGGCTCGATTTAACAAACCCAGATATAACAAAATATCTGTTATAACGAAGTAAATGAAAAATAGTTTTGCAGTAGTTATAGTGTTAGGAATATACCTTTATAATAAACTTAAGGATATAACAAGCTAATTTCCATGCAATATGCAATTTTGTGTGGCGATTTTCGTATAGCACTAGAATGGTAGTCTCTGATAAGAAAGAACCTGCAGGGACCAGGAAAATGCGTTCCACCTAACAGGGGTTCCGTTTACAAAGTTGTGAAACAGGGGTACAGAACACAAGTACGAAACCAATCTCGCCAGAAACACTTGTTCCATTCAAGCAGCAGTTCTTTCAAGAGATTTTCGCTTGCTGAGAGATTATTGCAATTTACTGATAAGAGGACAATCAGTTTTCTCTTTAACAACATCGCTTGTTCTGAATTCTGAGTAAGAACAGTTTGCTACAACAACACTGCTTTTCTGTAGCTGAAGCAACTAAATGAAAGCGATCTCCGAAAGCAACAATTTTTTAGTAAAGCTCGCAAAAAACGCATAAAAAAAACCTGCGGTGATAGCACAAAAAACAAAACTGTACACTTCACGGCCTTGGTCAAACTAAGAGGCATACAACTATAATCTCGAACTTCGAAGATATAAACGTACAAACATAACAAGAATCACAGTAGACAAAGCACTCGGTCTTGTATTTTCCTTGTGCCTGGTTAAGCTTGTGCTGGTATATCCTAAGAACTATACTCAAACCTCATTATAACAAGAGTTGCATCTTAAAGAAAAAATAAGTTCATTGTATCCAAAGCTTCGTTACAAAGGTGTATTCCTACCACTGTACCTATTGCAGGACCATTATTCATTTACTTTGTTACAACCGATATTTCATTATATCTGAGTTTGTTATATTAAAGTTTCATCGTAACGTTATTCTTCGTGCACACTTATCTTGATACCAATGTCAGTAACTAGTACTTGTGATCACTTGTTCATTAAGGTTGTACATTAGCACACTCACGCTTCTTGCGGTAGACTGTGTGCGTCTGGGAGTAGTCCTTTTCAGCTTTGGGATCAGGCGAGTAGCCGTTCAGCACGAAGAAGACGTGCAAAAAGATAGTGCCGTTGTTTTTGACTCTCTGAAACAAGCAACAAAAATAAAAGGTTTCACTTTCGTCAATCGCGTGTTTCTTAATGACAATGTGAGAAACGTGACCTATGTCGTTTAGAAAAAAAAAACACTGGCAGTGCGATAAGACAAAGTTTGCGTTTGATCGACTCTCCTGTGCTGTTAAAAATGTAAAATAGCGGTGCAATTCAGCAGCTGGCACACAAGCTATCTTACCCTCGCAAGTCTTTAGTAAAGCTTTTTCTTTTTCTCAACATGGCTGCCTTATAAATGAAAAAGAACTCGCTGATGTCAGCTTGTAACCATCATTCTGAACTCTTTTAGTTTGTTTTTTTTCACTGCTAACCTATGGTAACATATTCCATGCCTCCCTGGATAACAAAGGAAAAGTTGGTGACATTACAAGTGAGATAACTGCCCCAAACCGTTCTTTGGGAATCTCACAAAAGAGATGGCTGCTGTATCTCCCAGTGTAGTATGAAGCTAAAAGTACAGCCTATGAATAGTGTTTTCTAGAAAGTTTCGTAGTTGAAAACAGTGAAAACTCTCGCCGAACTGATCTGCGGAGTTGCAACAAGCTAACGTGGCAATTATAAAACACCATATGCCTACTACCGCAAGCACCGTAGGCATCACTACATGAGAAGTAATAACAGCCAAATCGAAGCGCAGGCGACTTACCTCCGATGGCCTAAACCTCATGTTCTTCGTATAAACAGAGTCCCCGTTCGGTCCACCATACCAGTCACCGTAAACGAGGCCCGGCTCCTTCCAAACCAGGGCTTCGGGGTCGTCAAAGCTTTTAAAGGTTGAGTCTTCCGAGATGTACATGTACATATCCTGCAGTTCAGGAACGAAGAGACGGAAGTCAGAACTGCAAGTTCCATTACAGCAGCAGGGCACACTCAAACCTCATTATAACTGAAGTTACATCTTACCAAAGGAAAACAAGCTTGGTATATCCAAAAGTTCGTTATACAGGTTATTCTTAACACTGTAAGTATCGCAAGAATAATTTTCATGTACTTATAACTGATATTTTGTTATATCTGTGTTCGTTATATTGAGATTTGAGTGTACTACAGCTTTGTATCACAAGGATTACTAATAAAAATGGCAGATCCTCGAGCAGGGGGCATCACTGGAGCTAACATTTTGACAAACAGACTTGACTTTGTCAAGGCAGTTGACAGTTATTGCAACGAAAAAGACATGGCCGCTCATCGAAATGTTGGCTCGAACAGCACGACCTGCTCAAGGGTTTTGATCCAATCAAGCTCTCACTATTGCTGAACTTCAGCGCCATAGTAACAACCGCTAGTGCAGAACTTACTGAAGTGCATCTACGAGGCGAGTTGTTTGCACCACCAAAAATAGAGACATGTTAAACAGTTTCAGTGTTCAATCGGACACCAAAAAGAAAGACAATTTCAGTAGTATTAGTAAATTAAGAATCAGGATTACAAATCAAATCAGCATAATTGTAATCACTCCACATAGTTATAATAAACTTTAGAGTCTCTTCAAAATGCACTTTCAATGTCATAAAGAACTAGTGCCACGCTGTGGCCATCAGAAAAGACCTAGCAAAGATCAGGCACACTCTAAGTTAGGTGAGGTTGAGGAGTGCGTTTGTTGAACAAAAAATCTTGTGCATCAATTAATGCGAATCACAAATCTGTCCTTTTCCTTCAGTCAGAACTTTACACCATCAGGGCACTGCCCAACGTGCGTGTTTAGGCTAGTTGGCAACGGACTGATGATGGTAGTGTGCAGACTTGGGATCTTCTACTACACTATTCCATCATGGACGATGCAAACATTGCTACCAACAACTTCAACAATACCCGCAAGGCTAGCAAAACATTCCAGAAAGCCCGAGGAGTCGCCAAATGTGTCTTCAATGATGACGATGTTGCGGGGACTAAAATCATTACTCCCACTTGCTTGAATTCCTTCTCTACCTGCACCCACATTAGTCAAGTTATACAACAGTCAACTGCTGAGCTTCATCGAAAAATAGCTCCTTTGTCACTCACAATGTTCTCCCCCCAAACTCCCTGCAGTGAGGAACAGAAGTCAGCATTAGGCGATGGTACAGAAACAAAACCAAACAATAGAAGGCAGATTGCACAGATATGTATAATTGATTCAAGGTTTGCAAAAAAATACTTCATTCAAAAAGTAGTGCAAACAAAAGTTATGCTGCTGGTCCTTGGGAATCATTTTAAAAATATCTGAAGCACTCAAAGCCAGAATTCACATTTATCAGTGCTGCTTCCACCGTGTTTGTAACTTTTGTCCCCATTTGTAAATATCTACTATTATTACCATTTTAAAAATGAAAATTATGTCAGAATATTCTTTTTCTGCACTTGTGAAATCTTGTGAAATACAGTTTCCTCAACTGCATTATTTTTTTGTCTCACTACAACTTTGTTTGGCAGTGGAGAAGTAAGACCATATTTACAAACTACACTCAATGGAAATCCACTGCTAACTCTGCGTTAGGGACATTTAGAAGTGCAGAAGTAAACAACACAGATCTGCAGTCTGAAACTTTGGTTGTCTGTGGTTTTCTAGCCAATTTCATATGCATACCCGTAAGCAAATTTTTCCGGGACGCCTTACCATGACCGTTCCATTTGGGTACAGATTAGAGGACGCTGGCGTGGCGCCGGGTGGACCGCTCCCACCGCCCGTGTTCTGATTGGCCGGCTGGCCTCGAAACCAGCTGGTCATGAAGTATATGATGGCCGCGCGAAACAGCAGGCCCTTGAAGACGGACCAATAGGAGAAGGCCGGCTGTGGCTGCGGTGCCGCCTGTTGAACGTTTTCCTGGTTTTCATTGTTGTGTGCTGGGGCCTGCAGGAGAGCAATAGTTCGGTTTATGACAAATAGAGATGACAAAATGAGAAGAAGTCACGATGCACAGCTACGCAACTCCAAGTTCTGGGTTACATTATCCTCGTCAGGTGCAAGTGTCCACATACGTGGACGCAACTTGTTTTGGCCAGTTATTCGAAATATTGGACATAGAAGAACACTGTGCATTGCACAAAGGATAAACTAAAGCTCCTTGCACTAGTATATACATTCAGACTTAACCTCAGCATAGTCTATTGGTTGACATCTACAAGTTGTGTGTGTCCAAGAAGTCATTTGATGTGCCGCATTCAAAGACCAACGTTATAGGTAGTACTTTTCTTTGAAATGAATACACCAAATAGCAAATAGTGCATGCATTCTAAGCCCAAGATTTAACTCTTTCATACAAAATAAAACACTACTGGTGGCATAATATTTAGGTAATCATCTAAATGCTAATTAGTTAATGATGCTCAAGTGATCTTCGGTGTAACCTTTCATGTAAGCTTGTATGTCCCATTCATTCTTATGGTATGTAATTCTTTAACCACGGAAAAAAAAATAACAGAAACTGGCGCATGTACTAAAGTTTGCCAGCGACAGTAGACTCCCCACAGACTACACCACTGTATAAAGATACGGCCTTGAACGTGAGGTAAACGCGAGACACCGTTACGATTGGTCCCGCTTTATTGTGACGTCACAGCCACTGCGTCATGTTTTCCCGCTGCCAGCAGCGCTCGTGTCGCGAACACCTGCGGCGCTGAATGTACCAGCGCGAAGCGTCATGCGATGGAAGCACGCCTCAAAGTTATTTTATTTGTTAGTACTATTTAAAAAGAGTTAAAGCAACCCTCACGCACAATTGTGCGCACAAAACCGCCGCCCACGTGCAGCAGCGATAATCCGCGAGAAATGGCACGGGGTACGAAGGTCACGAGCGGAGAAAACTACCACGCCGCCTTTATCTCCACAAGTCATTTTCTTTTATGATGCCGATACAAACTGCGCAACTGATACCGTACACTGTTGGCGCGTCAATTCTAAGTCACGAAGGGGGAAAATAATTAAAAGGGAAAAAAAAAACTTCGCGGCGCGTGCACAGCTATTTCTAAAGGCCTTGACAACAACAGCGTGATCGTGACTTCGGTGACGAGTTAAGTTTTTTTTTTTTCTTTTCCTGCCACAAAGCCCGCAGCATTATAATTACTACAAGAAATGCGTTTATGTTTGTTTAGCGATATATGAATGAACCACCACCGCTTCGGTTCTCGAGGCGTTCCTGCCAGGGCATGCCCACTGCGTTTTGCGACGCTCGCTACTGCACCTAACTAAAGCCCCTGGATATACATTACCGTGCACCGCATGCTTTGCCCTACAATGTAAACGCAGGATGTGAAACACCTGCCGTGCCGAACTGGAGCAAGCGCTTCATTACTGCCCGTACAAGCGTGATTCCCGTTCGCCAACCTCTCTCCAGCACCACCCAGGTGATTACCCGTGTACAAGAATCATGGAAGCAGCGCAAAAATTTGAAAGAAAGAAAAAAAGACGGCACGGTATTCCGGACGAATGAGACAGGCACAGAGGCCACGGGAAATCGAAAGTTGACCACCGATTACGGGAGAAAGAAAAAAAATTACAACGCGTGACGGGACGAAAGGGAGACCGGAATCGCAGTAAGAGGAGCTCACCGCATCCTGAGCTTGGTTCGAAACTTGGCCGTTGCTTGAGCGTACGAGCGCTCCGGAGTTGACCGCTTCCGTCATCGCATAGGCGGTACTCGTGGTCGTGGCAACGGGTCTCCCTGTGACTGCCGCTGGATGTAATTCAGGATCGGTTTTCGCGACGACGCGAATGATGACACCGCTCAACGAGCCCCAGGCACGGCGGCGATTCACGACGAGCGAGCGAGAGCGACGATCGACCCTCGCCCAAGGTGGTCGGACCACTTTCGATATTGCGCCGCCATTTTCGCAGTTGAAAGCGTCTTGATTGTGACGTGCTTATTACCAAATTTAACTTTAAAATTTGCTGGTTTAATTTAAGCATAGTTCAAAACAAACAATATTCTATAGTTTTGAACTGTTAAAACTTCAAAACAAATGATTGTCAACTAGTTTACGTCGTGACTGCTATGTTTAGTTGCAATGCGCAAAAAATGAATCCTCTGAGACTTGTAATTTAAACTCCAAAAGGTGTCGTTTACACCACCTTGAAACTTTTTTATAAAATTAAAAATAAAAAGATGACTAATATTTGTAACTAAATTTTGTTTTTAAAGACAAAATGATTTTGTTTAAATTTTGTTCTCAATTTTCAGTTGTGCATGTTTAGTACGCCCGCCGCTAGGATCGTGGCAGTGCTCCCGGTTTTCTTTAGGCTAGAAGCAAAGGTCGTCCCCGAGAAGGGCGAACAGCGCTACAAATCGCACTTTCGAGGCTCCAAAGCTGCCATGAACGCTGCTCGTGTAAGTATCAACACTCTTGGATGCTTTGTGAAATTCCATAATCCTAGCTGAGTTGTGGTTCTCATGCCGAGTTCCGCAAAGCGTTGCCCTACGACCACCCTTTCGTAGTCGGGCATGTGCCTCCATAGCAGCCGGTGCCTTTCGTTTTGCCTTCAGCCTTCCCATGAGTGCTGCGGTTGTCAGTATTTGTACTTAACTTTGCTGCAAATCCTACGTTGGCGTTCCCCGTAACTTATAGACCTTCTTTTCGGTTCGAACTTGCCTCGCGGCCATTGTAGGAGGTGTGATCGTTCTTGTGAAGGCAGTTTTCTGCTTCTCGTTAGATTGAGAAACCTGCGAATGCTTTCGCGTGCGATGATCTCGAAGAGTTGTTAGCGTTGAAGAATTGAAAAAACTGTTCACTTAGTGCGTGCAGTGCGTTTCAGTTTGCCTCGATTTAGAGCGGAGGTGTCTCTCGAGCGTTTTCACGTGTCTTTCCTCAATCTTCACTCGCACGTGCTCGTTTCTTTGAAGCCCGGCCTAAGTACGAAGGCCCGGCTTGTCGCATGTTCACGCAGTGGTCAATTGAGGTCTAAAAGGCCAGCAATGCTCAAAACCAGTTCGAAATTGACTATCAAGGTCTGAAGTATACAAACTACAGTAAGAACCTAGAACTAATCGCAACAATTCGCCTAGAATTATGAAAAAAGTGCTTCTAGTAAGGTATGAAGTATACAAACTTCTGAAGTATACAAAAACGGATGGATGGATTGATGTGGCTGTACCCTTTAGATCGGGCGGCGGCTAACGCCACCTAGCCGTAATACTTGGTGAACCAACAACTAGATTTATCTTTTTTTTTTTTCTTTAAATAGTTAAGTATAAGACTGGTACATCGCAGTGAATGGTTTAATTTTCACTCGTGCCTTGACTTTAGCCACGAATCAGATAACCTCCTTCTAGTTAATTCTGCCCGCTTAAAGTCTATTTTGCCCTCGCTGTCTGTAAACCCCAGTGCTTCGAGAAACTCTGCGCCATGATCCTGAACTATAGGGTGAAGCCCCTTACAGAACATTATCAAGTGTTAGGCAGTTTCCTCCTCCTCTCTGCATGCACTGCATACCGTGTCTACCCCTTCGTATTTAGCTCGATATGACTTGGTTCGTGGCGGCCACGCCTCGTTCAAAAGGGCGCCACCACCGTGGCAAGCACGCAATTGCCAAGGTATGGTGGCCAGAAGGGCAGGTGGGAGCAACGCAGCCATCAGGGGACGGCAGAAGGTGTAGCAGATGTTCATATCAACAAGAGGTGGCACACGCTTAGCTTCTTAGATTGCTCTCTTTGAACAGAAGCGCTGTAGCACCTGTAAGGCATGCATACCATGTGCGCCTCTGTTGCTACTGTTTGCGCAATCTATGGTGAAATTTTAAAACATCGCCAAGGCATGAGTAACAATGAGCAAGCCTGCAAAGATGGAAGGCTCATTCACACACTGCTTCAGCTTCAAGATACTGAGAGCAAATAATGTAGTAAACTTGATTTCAGCACCAGCAAGAAAAAAACAGGCCCGTGTTGGTTTTGAATAACATTCCACAGAATTAACTAACAGTCTGATCAAGTTCTATGTAATAGAAAGGCTGCATTTCCTACTAAAGGCAGAAAACGTGGCACGATAAAGCAAGCTGTGTCAGTGAATGTGCTATTTAACTCTTGTTACTGCGTGTAAATTGTTATTTTTCATGTGTCTCTGGAAGATTGTTTTTGCCAGTTCGAAAAGTGCTCTAGCACGTACTGCAGCATATCAAATTTTGTGCAATGAAATGCTCTTTCCAAAAAAATGCTTTAAAGCAACTAAAATATTTTGGAATGAATAAAACTATAAAAAGTGTGTAATTTTTTGGTTGCCAGCTGGTAAACAGTGCAAGAAAAAACACCATATATGCAAAAATATTCATAACAAAGAAAAATTCAGAATATACATTTTAAAGAAAAATGACACAGGAAGAGTATAATAAACATTAAACGTTGTACAAAACATTTTTATTCACATAGACGAAGAAAATCAGAATCGAGGTGTTGCTCGAGCCATGCACGATCCAAAGCGTCGATCACCGGTGATCGATTTGAATAGGCGTGGTAATGAAAGAGATAAAGCTTTGTCACTTTACTAAAGTTTCATTATATGATTGGACTTATGATTTCTCTTTATTGTTTTAGAACTGCCTCTTTCACAACATCTGTCATATGCAAGCATAGATGCATAGTTTTAAAACCTTTGTAGTGTGTCACTCGAGATAAAGAAAATGCACCAAACATGAAACTTATCTGACAGACAAAAAGTAAGCAACCACAAAGTTAGAAAAATGACAATTAAGAGTCTTCACTGACTCCTGCGTCTATGTTTGAGACAGCACATATAAAGTATCACAGTGTAATCACGATGTGTGCTGCCTTCTACATTTGCATGGCAGTGGAAATAGCTCATTGCTTTGGCCTTGCTTAATTATGTTCAAAGTTTACCGCACCTATCAAAATGTGCAGCCAGATTCCACATTTAAAAAAAAATTTGATCCTTAATCTTCGGTTTTTAGTAGTAGAACGCTGATAGCGATACCCTGTCCCTAGTGCATACTTCCACTATTTAGTGAATGTTTATTATTTGATGTTATGTGAGAAGTTTACATTGTATATTACTACAGTCTAATTGTTAAGGTTGAAAGCAATTTGTGTCAATTAACCTTTTGCACATGGCTGCATTCTGTGTAATGGGTAGCATGCTTTAAACAGCAAGCAATTATGCACGTGAAATTGTTTCGAACTTGCTATGCACCCTTTGTGTTCTTATAAGGAAATACTCGCAGTGTGCCTTTTGTAATGGGGGCAGACTTCAAGTCACAAAGTCCTTATGATAATCGCATGTTTTGACGCCTGATGGCAACGCACGCTTGTAACACACAATATTATTTTAAGGGGAGGTGCTACTCCACGACACTTTTTTTTTTAATATTCACTCTAGAGCAGTGAAACTTGAGCTGTTTATGGAAATTTTTATGCTTTCGAATATACAATTATTTTTCTTGCAAGTTGCACACCTATAGCTCTGCTACATGACAAAGTGAAAACCTTAACCTTTCTGCCCCCCTCTTTTCATCCCTAAACTTCTGCAATTTTTTGCCATTCATAGTTCATAATGTTTCAAATAAAGTGTAGAATGCAAATAACTAATTAGGAAGCACATACAAAATATGTAATATACGTGAAAAATAATAGACGTAAAAAGTACATATTTCACCTACCCAAGTAAAGGTTTACATCCAATTTTTTATTATACAATAAAATATTGAAATTTCAACTAGATAATTTTTCATACTTTGTAAACAATTTTGAGCAAAATTTTATGCAGATCAGAACCCTAGAAGTGCCCGAAAAAGGAGGGACACATTGGAAAAAATGGCAAAATTTGTGTTTTGAGAAAAACGAGTTTTAAAGCTAAAATTGAGTTTTTAATCATGAAATATATCACTAAATCTGACGAAACTTGTACACCAAAAAAAAAACAATCCTTCTTGTAGTGGCCACTGCGACTAAAGTACGCCAGCACCATTAGTTTGTCCCTCTCGGCTTTTTTGAGCCGACTCCTCACAGACATTTCGCTCACAGGCAGGGCCATGAAACACTTGCCAAACTTGCGCTCCATCTGGCAGAGCCTTGTGCCAACTGCAAGCTAGGAAAAAGTTTGACAGGACTGCAAAATCCAAACCAAGTTTAGTGCCATGTCATTTCGCACATAATGTCAATGTCGTCCCTGCTAAGTTCTCTCACTGCGAGCTCTTTCGACCTCGCAAGATCGGCGCCGACATCATCCATTGCCTCATCACGAACTTTCCGGCTGACAGGTGTGAATGACTTTTGATGCTTTGGCTTTTGCAAGCCAACAACTGCCGCAAATCGGACCAGCTGCTAGTAGCCTATTCCTACAGAGCAGGCCGCACAACGGCTTTCACTTGCGAGTACTGCCTTTTTTCATTCATAATGAAGATAATTACATGAGAAAAGCATTTTTCAGCTGCGCTGCTCGACAAGACATGGACCCCACAAATAGGTTTCACAGCACATATAGGCGCGCAGCGGCCAATGGCAGTCCCCGATTTGTACCACGTGATAAGCCAGTCGCGGCGCTCGAAAAACGGGCAGGAGAGTGCTTCTTTTTATTATTTCTTGCACCGCACCAGCGAGAGGAACTGTTGTTATTTGAAGAGTGAGGCTCGACTCATGGGATAAACAATGGCGAGTGGTAGAGCATTATCGGCGCCAAGGTGCTCTAAGACTGCACACTTTGGACCTTTTAACAGGCACCTGGTGCTCTTTCGATGCAATTTTAAAGCATTTCCAGTTTGGTCTCGACTTGTATTTTTTTTTTTATAACAGTAGAGGTACTAATTTTATCAACAAGCAAAAATAAAAAATCGGAAAT